CTGTGCAACCTGTGGACTTGTAGAAGCCTTTGGTCCACATTTCTGTCTTCCTTGCAATAACTGGTGACATAAACCTTACCTTTTGGTCTAAATTGGGTCACTACAGTGAGATCAGCTATTGTTCCCTCCATCATTTATCAGTATAGCCAAAACTCCTCCGTGCACTAATTATCTTGTCCCCTTTGGCCAAACTTCTAAGATGTTGTAAGGATGAAGTCACTGAGGTTCTCTCTGGGCACCCAGTTCATCGGATTTTAGTGGACACTTACTGAATGTATTTTGGCTTTTGAAACCAAGCAATTGCATCTGCGTTGGAGCCTTGGGTTCACAGGTTTCATGTTGCTACAAGAGAGATACCATTCTCCATCAGGTTTTGTGAAACTCCCTGTTTAGCTGTGTCTTGATGAATGATTTAAAAACTTGTATTTTGCCAAATAATTTGCTATAAAGAAAGATATGTCCAACAAGTTATGCAATTACCATTATTAATCAGCTTGTGTCTTTACAAGATTGAGGGAATCTTATTTTACACTGGAATTTTTAGCTGATGAGCTGGGTTCATGCAGTTTCTTTCCCTCCTCTTTAGAAAAGGATGGAAGGAAGTTAATTCCATCAATGCTTCAAGAGACCAGATATCCCCTGTTTATTAATTAATAATATCCATCTGGATTGTGTCAAGTGATTCCCTCTGCCTTTCCATGGATTTTTATCCAAAGAAAAAGCATTCTGAACCCTGTTCTATCAGTTTTGAAATCTTTGGAAGCCTGGCTGTTCTTTCCGTGTTTCTAGCACCTACTAGTTACAGGACATCAGGAATGTGAGCAGAGGACAGATGATGGGAGGAGGCTGTGTTTGTGAAATCTTCTTTTGATGTGTGGGAACAACCAAAATAGGGTTCTTGAAAGCCACTACACGCCAAAAAAAGTCCTCTGACACTGAACATCTCAAGAAGATGAAAACCTTCCTCCTGTTTCCATCGTCCCTGGCCTGAGCTTTTGATCTGACATAAGAAATGTGGTATGTGTCTGAAGTTCAGAAAGTTTATGCTGGCAAATAGAAAAGGGGGAGGTGGGTTGAGTAAGCTGGGACCGAGCTTCAGGCACATAACACTAATGTCCCTGCTGAGGGCCCTGCGCGTGAGCGGGCCCCACAGTGAAGAGCCAGGCTTCAAGCCATGGGAGAAGAGCAAGCGCCAGACCCTGTACAGAGGTGAGCGCGGCTCTCGGCGGGCCCCGGGCTGAGTTCTGCAGGCAGTGACCTCTGCCGCTGGCGCTGGCCTGCGAGCTCCTTGGCCAGGGCAGTGCATCATCCCTCCCGCCTTCCCTTCGCCTTCACACGCCATCCCCTACCCTGGGCCCGTCTCCCGCTGCGGTGTTGGCAGGAGACGTGGCCCCATTTCAGTTCTTTCCAGCTTTCTGACCCGGTTCAGCTGCGTCTGAGAGGTGGGGTCTGGAAACCAGAGACAAGCCCTCATGCCGGCAGGACCTCTGTTGCCAGAGGCTCTAGTTCAGCATGTCCATTTAGGCTCAGATTTGACTTTATGCTTCCATATGTGCCAAAAGACAAAAGCCTGAGTGTTCCGCTGAGTTGAGGCCATCTTTCACCTTGTGCAGCACAGCACAAGCTGTGGAGGAAAGGTTTCCATGTCTTCTGCAGATATCTGCCCTCCAGCTAGCTCCCTGAACCTGCTGTGGTTGCTGTTATGACCAACATTCCCCATGGCATGAAGACATACTTCATCTATCTGATGGTATTAGGTTGTTTTCTGCCTCCGTTCTTCCTGGAGGCATGACTTTTGCATTGGAAGTGGTCATAGCAGCAGAGGTGGGCACTGCTTGCAATGAGGATTTCCAATCAAAACCATACGTTCTTCTTCACTTGGTGGTGTCCCTCTCTCTACCTCAACCTTTCTGACTAGAATTTACCAAGACATTAAGAGTGAGCCTTTAATACGTTGCACGTTTTGCTAATTTGCTTCCTGGCTGTGAGCCTCTGTGGGATCATTTTCCAGCAGTTTACTCAGAGGGCCAAAGGCTTTCTTTTTTTGTTTAATGAAAGTGGGAATTCTCCTTGAGTCCCTTGGGTCCGGCAATGGCAGCCTTAAGAAAAACAGAACGTGACAGAAAGTAGATGAATGGCTCCAGTGCTATTGCAATAATGTGGAAGGACCCCGTTTGTGCTGGGCAAGCTTGGGAGAGGACGCTCTTGTTGAGTTTGAGATTCTGAATGTGACTAAATCCCTTGTGCTTTTCCTTCTTTAGTTTGGCTCTGCGGAGCTCATGGATATGAGAGCTCTCTTCTTTCTGCTTTATTTCTTTTGGGCACCTCTTCAGTCCTAATCATAAAAACTAGAATTTCTCAGCAATTTCAAGTCTGGAGACTTCCTGACCTCTATCATTTTGTGCCCAGGGAAAATAAACTTGTTGCTATGGTTTGAGCCTTAATGACTGCTATGTATATATAGTCCATTTAGGAAAAAGCATCCTGGATTATTCCATGCATGCCTTTAAATCTTTTACAGCCTTTATCAGCAGAGCTCTCATTTAAAACATGTTGTTTTAATGAAAAGGAGACCGTTGCCACTGTTCTGTGTTGATTATGTGGTAACACGTTTTTATTAGCACCCATAAAAATGATTTGGAGCTGTTCCACTCCAGATGCAACCTTCAGAGCTGTGCTCGAGCCACTCGCACCACCCGGGAGGGCCACGGACCCCTGTGGTTTGCTGCTCTCTGACCATTGCTGCTATGGATTTAATATCACCTCTTCCCACAACACTGCTGGGCTGCAGCAAAGTACTGTCCAGGACAGCCCTTGTTGGTCCCTTTGTTGCAGAAGGAGCATCCTAACCCTGCTCTGGCTTTAGCTCCTCTAATTTGCCACCTCCAGGATTAGTTTTGCCTCCTTTGCTGAATATACTTTGACAACATCCACATGTTTTGCTGGGGAAGCAAGGGGATAATATAAGTGTAAAGCAATTCAGAAGAAGTCTTCAATGCGCACTTGAGTCCCGTGTCAATGGGAATTAAGCACAATTATGGTAAGGCACATGCTCAAGTGTTTGTTGAACTGGTGGCATATTCCTTGGAAGTCTGACAAATAAATCATTGGGTAGAAGTGCAAGAGCCAGACTGAACCCATTCCTTCCTTACCTGGCGTCAGGGAAGCCCACTGAATAAAAGCAGTGTGACCTGATTCCTTTTTCCTTTCTTATTACTCTGAAAGCAAAGCTCTGGGTTCATCAATAAAGATCCTTGTAATAAAGGAAGAACTTTGCTTGCTTGCAACAGCTGAGGTTCAGTTCCCTTGCACTTAACCCAGCTCCCAGTTTAATTAGTTTCTGATTCACCCCTGTCAGGCCAGTACATTCTGCAGGAAGTTCATCATTTCTGGCGCTGCTGCAATGCTGGCTCTCACCATCTCTTGTAATAAATAAGTGATAAACCTTGTAATAATTGCAAGTTAAAAAACAAACAAGCAGAGCCAAGTCACTCTCATTTATAATTGCAATGTGACTTCATTATGTAAAGACAACACAGCATGTAAAAGCTGAAACTTCTAGGGATTTAGTGGAAAGTTTGAGCCACATTCTCTTTTATTTCCCTTATCCCTAAATCAGTATTTGCTTAGGTGGTTTCCAAACAGGAAGAGCCAGTGCTGTAACAAACCACAGTGCTGCGCTCCTCAGTTCCCCCCCTCGTAGCTTTGTGCTTAGAAAGCAGATTTTGCAGGAGATGCTGGATGCCTGGATCAAAACTCTTGCTCTGGAAACCTCAGCCCTGCTTCTGCCTGATGGGCATCCTGCAGCCATCCTGAGCAAGCAGCCTTGCTAGGGATTGATCCAGCTGCCAGGTAAGTGGCAGGGTTGCTGCTGTTTCTCAGGCATGGCTGATGCCACTGGCATAGTAGGTGCTGCCCTTAGTCTCTGCCTAGCAACTGGGGTAAAACCCCTGTGCCACAGAGCACATGGGCCTGGCATTCCATCAATGCTCCGATGGGTTAGGCTTTTTGAAAGAAATCTGTGGACCACTTTGTTTTGCCACTGTGCTTAGTGGCTGGGAAGGCAGAGAAATGAAGCATTCAGATTAAAATAGAAAGTATCTCTTTCTTTAAAAAGTCCTCATTTTGTGAGAAGTTTAACCAGAAATGTTGTGTATAAAGCGCAGTGAGCGTTCCCCTGCACTTCACTTCCCCAGCCCTCTGCTCCTTGTGGGCATCTAGGTTTTTTGCAGCCATGTTAAAGACTAACTTCCAGTTTCATACAGGCCACCAGTGCCCGGGGCAGTGCAGCCTGAGGGACAGCAGTAAATGTAATGTAATGGGGTTACTTTGCCAAGGAGCTTAGGTTGAAAATGGCCCAGATAGCTCAGGGATGCACACTGGGATGTGGATTTATTTGAAGGTAGTGTGTTTACAAAGTATAGAAACCATTGTGTGGTTTAATAATATCCTGTTATATCTAAGTAGAGCTGTTTGGGGAAATTAGCTGCCTTTTTGTTTGTTTAATCCAAAATTAAAGCACCCAAGATCTTTAAAAGCCTCATATTCTCCATCATCTTTAATTTGGTCAGCACTTGTGCTTTGACTTAACCAGTATTTGTTCTGAGGTACCTGGATATCCAGGGCACAGCCCTTCACCTTGCACCAGCTCTCTGTAGTTCATGACTCTGGATTTGAACACATAACCCAGCAGTGAAGTGCTGAGAGACAGAGAGACAGTCCCCAGCCCCACATGAGGCTGAATCTGGAAGCAGTGAAGCCCTCTCCAAGGAGGGGGTGTGTGGGATCCTCTTGCAACTGAACACAGCAGCTTCCTATCCTGATTACTGCCACTTTCCAGGAAACCAGTAAAGCTTTAACACCAAACCCCTGTGGTCCATGATGCAGTTGCTCACAGCTCCTGCTGGCAAGGGGAGGAGTTTCAAGACCTCTTCAGGAGTAAGACCATGTATGAAACCATCCTGCTGACATTGTTTGCCTTCCCTATGTCCTCTATATAGATCCTCCTGCTTGAGGCTGCAGAGCGAAGCCCACCACTGGAAAACAACCTGCCCATCACTGGGACAACGGCCACATGGTACGATGATTTGCTACCAGATGCCTTTCCCCTGCTGAATCCTGGGACTGTCCTCAGAAAAACAGTGGGATCTGTTGGTAAGCCTAACCTGCTCTTCACCCACCCTACGTACATGATTCCTGTAGGGTAACTAAAAGGAGGCCATGTCAGTCTGCTGTAGTATTGGAAGCTGCAGGGGAGAGGAGTTACAGGGAAGCATCTGCAGCTCCTTACCTCTGCACTGTCACAGAGTCACAGACTGGTTTGGGTTGGAAGGGACCTTAAAGCTCATCCAGTTCCACCCCTCATTGCTTCTTGTCTCTCCTTCTCTGCAAACTGCGAACACAGAGGCAGTCACACACCAACACCTATGTGGATTCGTGGACAAGGGAGGAATTTAATCCCCTTTGATCCCACCTTGAACCATCCTTCCAGCTGCAGCAAGCTGGATGTGATGTCCTCAGGGCCCCTTCCCACTGCTTGCAGGAATGAGGATCCTTTGAGAGGAGAGGGTCTTTGGGCTTTTCTGTCTGTGTCTGTTGCCCCTTCTTGAGTTAAGGCAGCAACAGAGTTCCTGGAAGAAAGCAGCTAAACTCAGAAACTAGCATGTTCAACTCCATTTTGCCAACTTTAACAACCTGTTGCTAACCTCAGTTTCTGTTGGCACAAGCATCTACTGAGAGCTCAGTTCTAGTCTCCAGAAAGTCAGATTTCTGGTAACCTCAGTAGGGCCACTGTGCCTGCCTGTGTGTTTCAGTGTACGTGTTTCTGAGTCCAAAAGCTGTGGATTTTGAGGTCCGGATAGACAGAAACATTCCTGAGCAAACTCCAGAGAGCTGTCAGGATCACAGGGGAGGATTTATAGTCACCTATCAAGCACCGAATGCAGCGTGTCCCTGTCTGGGAGCAGTGTGGGGGTAATTCTTGCTTTTACTGGGACAAAAAACTTTCCCATGAATAGCAGCATCACTTGCAGCCTGCATTCTATTTTTCACATTTGCCATAAACACAATGGGCTGTTTTATGATCCCTCTTGTGGCATGACAAAAAAATACACTTAGAAGCAAATCTCCCTCTGAGCCCACTTGGCTAGACAGATCCCCACGCATCGAATTTCCTTGACCTTGGCATTCTCTTTGCAAGATCCCTGCTCTCTGCTTCCAAAGCCCTGTCTGTCAGTTGCTGTGCTTGCTCCCAGAGCAGTTCTTTAGCTCTTTATCCTCTGTAGGGCCTACTTTGCTTTTTTCTTCCTTTTCTCAGTCCTAGCAGTTTATTATGGCAGCCCTTCATGACTGCAGCAGACTTGGAGCAACCAACATAGACCAGATGTGGTCCATGTTTATAATTTGACAGGATGCCACAACATGGAGGGAGGTTCACTAACAATATGTTCTGCAGAGTATTTTCAGAACCACAGTGGTAGCTGCCAGGAGCTGAATTAAAGCAGTTTCCCCAGTGTCCATTATATGCTCATTCTGCCTTCTCCATGTCATTTATTTTTGCTGTCGCAGTATCTCTGCACCTGCACTTGATTGCACTGAAGTCAGTCCAGCAAAAGCACTGATGACTCTGTCCCACCCCAAGCCCTCTCCTCTCAGAGGCTCTGTACACGATACTCTCCTCCTGCTCAGCAAGGAGCAATGGATGCCGCTCACCCAGGCTTTTGGCAATGCTGCAGAACTGAAGAGACCTCCTGCAGCACTTGCATCAGGATGACTCCATGGCCTGCTATCAGCACCCTCCATCCCTGCAGTAAATCTAGGAGGTGATCCCCTTCAGAAAGCAGGGGATGAAGATGCTGTACATGAGTGTCTTGTCAGCCAGACTTCCAGGCTGTGCCCATGTGCCCAGTGGAGTCCTTGTTCACTTTATTTTTCTAGCCTTGATTTATTTAACCTAGTGGGGGATAACAATTCTGGTGTAATAACTGGGAATCAGGAATGCACTGGACCATTTCAAGTCAGGACAGTGTCTTTCAGAAATTAGAAGTAATCAGTTAAGTTGCTCATTGACATGATTGCCCACTGCAGCCCCTAAGCAAGTTCTGTGGACTTCAAATGCTTGCTAAGGAGCTGTGGGGATGTTGCATGGATTGGGGGCCACATTTGGCTTCTTTCCCTCCTCACACCAGTTTATATTTACAGCCAAAAAAATGTACTGTGGGTTTTGCTGACATGTAGGGAATTCCACACAGTTGGGTTAGGATGGTGGGGGCCTGCCCGTTTTGCATCATTTCAACACTGTGCTGTGACATGTTGCTCAAAGCTGCCCCCAGGTTCACTTACCAAGGTTGCAGAGCTCACATCTTTCAACAAGTTGATATTAGAGTAGGTGGAAATCAAACCGGAGCGTCCCGTGTGATTTGGGGCTGTGGAAAGCTAAAACTCAGTCCCTCCCATCCCCTTCCCAGAGGTTTCTTGTGAAGTATCACTTACTTTGCCCTGTTGCTAGTTTTTCAGCCCAAGCAAATCCAGATCCTAGCTTGTGTGCCACAGAGTTCCTCAGCTGGAGGACATAAAGTGCCTAACACAAAGATGGGTGATACAGACTGAGATGCTTTAAATGGTGGGAGTGTTTCTGGATGACCTTTATAGCTCAGGGTTGGCTCTTGCCTCTCCAGGCTGAGCTCCAGGAAAACTTGCTACTGTTTATTAGGGCAGTTATTTCTTCTGTGAATGACAGGGCTGAGAACAGACAATCATTTAAAAGCAATCAGAGCTGTTGAGACAGCTGCACCACTGGACTTTCTGACCAGCTTGTTAATCAACAGGATACATTCTACTGAGTATTAAGAAAATACACACACACACACACACACACACATATATATATATACACACACTGTGGCTGAGCCAGTTGGCAGTGAGAGAACTAATTTTTCATATCTGTTTTGTTGTTTCTTTTTTTTTTTTGCCCTGTTCTTTTTAACTAGAGCCTAAAGGACACAGAGGTGCACAGGAGCAGCTAATACCACAGGGTAAGTAAATGGGTTCTGCTCTTTCACCTTTCAAAACACAAAACGTTCCTATGCCCAGTCCTGTATGTGAGTTGTTCCAGAAAGCAGAGAGATCCTGTGGCCAGGAGTCCTCTGTGATTTGGAGCCTCACGGATACAGAAGGGCTGGGTTTATTCTTTGGGGGTTATCTGCTCTGGTTGAAGGGGTGAAGTGCCAGCTTGAGCGTCTTGGAGACATGGAGTTCCCCAGCACACAGGGGATGGGAACTGCTGCCTGGTGCGGGGCAGTTCACTGGAGGGCACATGGTGAGAGCGAGCAGAGCATGTGATGAGTGATGGGAGACACTACCACTGTTGTTATGGTGCTGGTGCTGCCTGCTGGGGCACCATTTGCTGCTGGTGACAGTCAGGGCATCGTTTTGCCAAGCTCCATAGAAATAGAGAATAACCTGCTCCTGTACACGGAACACCTCAGGGAAGGAAAGGGAACAGATGGTGTGTTGCAGGTTAATGAGGGCCAGGAAGAAAATCAGGTCCCTTCATGTCAGCTTTGGTCTCCACCAGTAGAGTACTGGCCCTTTACCTTTTGGGGGTTATTTATTTTTCCTGTGGCCTTTTGTTTCATATTTTTGGAAGGTAAATACATGCCATGGGCATCAGTGCTCTGAGAGCGATGTCACTGCAGCAGAGCTGATCTATGGCAGCTGAAGATTTGGCCTGTTCATTTCCCTTCCCTCTTTCCCGTGAATCCTCTCTTTCTTCTTCCTTTTGCACTTGTCTCTTTGATGCTGGTAACACCATTTGTCACCAGTATGAGCATTTGCCTGACACATTACTCAGTGCTGCTTCTCCCAGCCTTTCCTTTAGCGCTTTCCACCTTCAGGGAAGCAAGTGCCAGTTTCTTTAAAGCTCCACTGCAGCGCCGTGATTGAGGATGCTGGCACCAAGTGATTGCTCTTGGTCTGCAGAAATTCAGAGCATGGAGTTACAAAGCTTGAACTGAAGGATTGAGGCTGATTTATACAAGCAAGGAGATGTTTTGAGCCACACTGGGCAGGACGGTGTGTGGTTGTAGAGCAGTGTTTCTGCTGTTCTTTCATCCATAGGGAAAGGATTTGCTGGATAAAGCTTCAGGTGTGTTGTAGGGAGGTTTGTAGGGGGGAGAAGCTGTTTGCAATGCTCTTGCTCTCTGAAATGGGCTCCTGATCATCTCCCAGAGCTTGCCAAGTGCAGCATCCGCTGTCAGGTGATATCCATTATAGGAGCCCATCTATTCACAGGCAAGTCTGCAGTTTGTCTCCTGTGGATAAGCAAATTGATCCAAATTAAAACCTTACCTTAATTCCTTGTTCAGTACCCAGATCACATCTTTACTGATGGCTCAATGAAACAAAAGTACAGACACATGCTTCCACGCAAAGCCTTTGGAAAGTTCTATTTCTTCACTCTGCCCAGTTCCACCATGGCTTAGAGATGGATGGATTTCATTTGTGTAAGCAAAAATAATTTGGATATCTCTCCAGAACAGCAAAAGTGAAAAAGAGAGAAGGGAAATCTTCCAAGGGCATCTGATACTGGGGGGTTACTGCTATGTTCTGAGACATGCAGAGAGTTTGGATGGAGGGACAGGTTTTGTGTCCAGGTGGGCTGTCCCACACCTAGAGTGGAGTTGCAAATCCTGTGAGCCTTGGTTTTTGTTATGTCACCCTGGTCCCTTTGGTACCAGCTGTGAAGGGGTCAGTTGACCTTCTCTTCCTCTATTCCTGTCCAGCCTTTACACCTTACATGCAGCAGGTTCGCCTGGTGCTGTGCTTGAAGGGTCCAGAACCTCTTTTGATATGAGGGAAGGGGAAGGACTTTGCTTAAGAGTTATTAAACCTTAACTTGCACTCTGCTGGGTTAGGGTCACGTGTGATGTACAGACTAAAACTGGAAACCCAAGTGCACTGAACTCTGCACTCGGACAGATTTCCCTCAGGCTTTGTAGGTTACATCTGCCCATGCTCTCAAAGTCCTTTGGTAGCTCAGAAACCAGGAACCTCTGACTCTCTTGGCTCTGACAGTATGTATATAATGCCTTTATTGTAACCATTAACAACTTAATCTGAGTAGACAGGCTAACTCATCCACCTCTCTAAGGTATTAAAGGCTTCCCTAATGTTTGCACAGTGTTTAAGTGTATCTTTCCAAAGCAGCTACTACTTTTGTGAGCCAAGGACTCAGTGTTTTTCTGAAAAACACTCTCCAAATTGCCAAGTGTTGTTATTATTTTGCTGGTCTAAAGAAACCAACATGAAGATTTTATTTAATGTCATTAGAAATAATCACTTTTCTATTACAAACACTGCCTGCACCTTACTGGGGGACTGAGTGGATTTGCCAAGAAGCATCCTGCTGGGCTGTAATTATTATTACTGGTACTTCCAGATGGGGCTGCTCAGCACCCTATTCTTTGATATAAATTAATAACATCTAGTTAGTTCAGTAGTGTGGGTGCATTAATGTTAGCGTGGAATGAAAAAAGCTTGTGCACAGCATGGTGCACTTGTTAGATGAATGAAATCAGCCGAAAACAGGGAAACATCTTTGACGCGGAATCTCTGGGTGGTTTGTATGGATCAGCTGGAGCAAGGGGGAGATGGGGTTTGATTTGCTTTTGCAAAGATGTTTTGTGTATTTAACTACGTTGGCACTCCTGTGGAGCTGACACATGGAGCTGGAGGAAGCTCACAAAGGAGCGCTTGAGGGACCAGCCAGACTCTGTGCAGAGCCATCCTGACCTTGGGAAGGGGACAGTGCGGCTCAGTTTAGCCTTGCGCAGCCCATCCAAGCTGGACATACCACATCCTGATGGCTGTTTGGGGTGGGCCTTGTGTGTGGGGACCTGCTTGTTTCATTAAAGACTGGAGGAAGAACAGAAGCAAGGTCCAGCCTGGCTCTTCTACCCTACACACCAGCCAGCTCTTGCCAACAGCACCCCCTTGTCTGTGCAAAGCTGCATTCCTCGCCCTTGCGTCTTTGACTCTCTGGTTTTGAGGTTGCTGAAGACCTTTGAGCTCAGCAGTGTCCTAACCTCCAACTAATTTCCTTCATGAATGCTTTCAGGGCTGCCGGGACAGGTTGGACCTCCAGGCCCAGTTGGACCAACTGGTCTTCCAGGACCACCAGGACCAAAAGGAGAGAAGGGACAACCTGGTGAGAGGGGCCCAGCAGGGCCACCAGGTGAGTCCTCGAGGAGGGGGCAGTGCTGCCGTGGTGGGAGATGTTTCACTTTCTTTATACACATTATCTGTGACACCAGATATACAAGGCTGGACACACAAGGTGTTGAGCATCTCCAGTTGGTATTGAATCCACTCCAAGGAGTCCCCTGGGTACTGAAATTAACCAGCAGTTTTCAGAGCGGGCAACCACCTGCAAGAGCAAGGACAGTCCCTGGGGTTTCCTGTGGAGCTGGACAGAGCTTGTCCCAGAAAGCTGCAGAGCCAGGATCATGTTTCCCCATAAAAACTGGTCTCTGATCTTTGAAGAGCATTCCCTGTTTAACTTTCTCACTGTGTGCCTGTTTTAACTCCCTTTTTCTCCACTATTTGTGTCAAGCTGCCAGATGCCAGGATGTCAAATGATGCTTTTACATGTTAAGGGAAAAGGTTACAAGGCCAAGCTGGGAGACTTCCTTCATCCCCAAAATGTGCCTAAACCTATTGCTGAGGGTGATACTACACAATATGTGCCAGAGCTCAGGCTCTGTGCTTTCTGTGTGTCTGAAAGGCTGTGTCTTGTACATCTGAGCTCAGGAAAGATCTGAACCTTGGCACATGCCTTCAATGTGAGAGTGGCCCTGAACGCTGTTTGGTGTTTTCTGGCAACCTGTCAATGGCTAAAGTCTGGCCAAGGATGTGTCTGCCTTTTGGTTTCTCAGTTTGCAGCGAGAGCCTTCCAGCCCCACAGGAAGCAGAACCAGCCTGCTGCTGGGCTGGCCGGGTTTCTGTTGTTCTCCCTGTGCTTTCCTGGCAGTGAGGTGACACACAGGTGTACTGGAGGCGAAGGGAAAGAGGGGCATTTGATTTCACTCCTCACTGCCTTTAGCTTCTTTCTCAGCCTAAGGCAGGGGGGAGATTCTACCCGTTCAGGAGTTGAGCTCTGCAGCACCTTTGAGCCAAGTAAGGCTAATCTGCTTTGCAGAGGAAGATGCTAAAGGCAAGTAATGGAAAATTAGGAAGCTGTTCCTCTTTCCCCACACATCCCGAACTCCCCCAATTACAGTTCAGGACAGAAATCCTTTGTCTTCTTACTGCCTTTTTATGTGGTAGCATCATTAGCACATTTTGAAATGCACTAACACATCCTCTCCTGCCTCTGCACAGGGCTGTTGGGGCCTCAAGGACCAAGAGGACTGCCAGGAGAAACAGGGATCCCAGGTCCCCCAGGTCCTCCGGGGCCACCAGCCACCCCAAGCCTCCCTCTTACCTTCCAACAAGGAGTTCTCTACTCTCTCCAGCCCACAGCTGAAAAAGAAAGTAAGTCTCCTTCTCAATTCCTTTTTTTTCCTGGTACACCAGCAGAGGGGGGAGGCACTTCCTCCTGAAGGCTCAGCTCTTCCTCCCACCTTCCTCCCAGGAGACTGCCCTCGATAGTCTCCCACCATGGCGCGGGACTCTTGGAAGTTCATGTTCAAGATGGAACACATAAGACTTAGAAGCTGGAGGAATTCACCTCTCCAGAATGAGGAACTGAGTCACTGCTCTTCTAAAACCAGTTCCCTGTGCCCAGTTTTCTGGGTTTATCATAGCTTTGAGGAGGTAACTTGGTGACCTTTAAGCTTCCATCAGGTGTAGCTGCTGTGCAGAGGGTCTCTAAGTGAACTGACAGCTCAGGTAGCATCATGTGAGACACAAATGGGGAGAGAACAGTCTGGCCAGTTAGGTGCTGGTGCAGTGAAATGGCAGTTTCTTTGCCCCCGCAGATCTTTGCCCCCACAGATGTGTCTTCCACCTGCATTTCTGGCTCATCAGTGTTATCCCACATGACACAAACTACAGAGTTACAGACTCGAAAGCCCTGGAAAGATGGTGATCTATCCCTTCCCTGTCACTGGAGTGTGTTTCTTGGAGCCTATGGGGATTTAACTTGTTTATTTATTTAACTTGTGTTGTCCATGGCAGGAAAAGGCTTTCTAGAAGAGCCACATTGTGTGCTTTTATCTGAGTGCTCTCAGATTTGGGCTTGATTCTTCTGGCCCAGTGTTGTGTAGCTGGGATCTAATAATGTGATAAAGCAGAGCTCAGCTGTCTCCCCTTGGCTTGTAAACTCCTGGAGCCCCAGCTTAATCGGGACTCCCATCCCAACTCCCCCAGACTTTAGCTGTGCCTCTTCCCCCCTCTTCTGCTCATGTCCAGCTTCAGAGCTCAGCTGTATTAGTAACAGCCGAGGATTAGTAAGTCTCCCTGTGTCTGACAGTTTTCTAGCGTTCTCCTTTCCCTTCCTCCCACTCTGCTTTCCAGGCTCCATTCACTTCCCGAAAGTGAACAGATGTATTTTTAATTTGGGAAGGATTTTAACAGCTCCATTTCACGTTCAGTTCCTGGGGCAGGATGAAATGAATTGTGGTTCCATGCTAAGATTTTAACAAAATGTAGATTGATCTGCTGTGCTCATGCCTTGTGACAAGGAAGTTATCACCTCACTGCCTTACAGGATCGCATCAAATGGTGCCATTCGGCATCCCACCTTTAACTCCAAAGGATCCTTAAGGATGGTTTGGGTATTGCTGCTGCCATCTCCCTCCAACCACCCTTTAAATTAAACTCTTTCTTGCAAAGTAGTGAATAAATTAAAGTGTAAAAGGCATTGATCAGCAGCTGATGTGTGAGAAGGGTCAATTCTGTATTGTCCCAGAATGGGAAGTGGATAAATATCTGTATTAACTCTGCCAGCACTGGGCAGCAGCAGGCTCCCACATGGACCTAAGGACAGTGAGTAGATGGTGACTGTTCCATCGCTGGGCAGCCCTTTACTTCTCCTCCATAGCTGTGGTGGATTTCTTGGTTTGCAGAAGGAGCCCAAAAGCTTCCTAACAATTTTTCTTGTTTAAAAGCTTTTCTTAGTCCAAATCTCAGTGCAAGTGTAGGTTACCTGTGTGGCCATGGTGAAGTTACAGCAATATCAAGACCATTTTCTTACAAAATGTGCTGTTTTGCTTGTGTTGGCTGATTCTGCCTGCTGCGGGCTGGTGGAAAGCTGATCCCTACAACCCATAAAGCAGCCTTGTAAATTCTGGGCAGGAGTTTCTTAAATGTATTTATTTATTTTGAATGGAGCACATCTGAAAACTATAAACACAAGATTCCAGCTGCTGACAGCAGAGGGAAGCATATTCCTGGTAACAGGCATGTGCAGTCATGGAGATGTGAGAAAGCTGTATCACATTATTAGTAGTACAGTGTTTGGTTCTGCCTGAACATGGTTATTGCATGTGCCTTTATTAATCACAACAAGCTCCTGTTGGCAGTGTTTACCAGCAGCCAGAAGCCAAAACCAGGGAGACAGATCGTATTTTCTCACACTTTCACTGAGCTAAGGTAAAGGAATTGGTCCCAGTTGTCTCCCTCTAGATCAGGTAGCAGAAAGAAATGAAGACAGGATTACTTCATTTCCATCCTGTCCCAACAAATCAAGCCTATAACAGGGAATTTATCCCTTAGTCAGAAACATCAAACATAGTCCAGAAGCTAAACTGCCACGTGCTGAGGCTGCTGCTACGAAGATCACTTGCTGCCACTTCAAAATGCATGGGTCAGGTGTGTGGTGTGGAGTCCTCTTTCTTGCTGAAACTAAAGATTTTTAGGGAAAAGTAAAAGAAAACAACACAACTTTCACTCTGAGGGTCACATTTTCTTACATCTCAAAAGATTTCAGGTTGCAAAGGACATGCAAGATAACATTAGCCTGTTTTGCAGGGAGAGCAGGGGGAACCAAGTCACATCAGGCTTGCCTGTGTGCCCAGCAGGTCATTGGTGAACTGGGTATTGAATAGAGATTGTGCAGTGACATCCCAGTGCCGGTTGCCATGAGTAGCCCTTCCTGAGGAAGGGTGAATAGAGCAGAGGAAGCAAAGGCAAAGTAGAGGATGAAGTGAAAGGTACTTGATTCGGAAAACCGTACCCACTGCTTTCAAAGCTGTTTATGTTCATGCCTCTGCAGTGCCTTCACACTCTGGGCAGGTTTCAGTGCATCATTCAAGGCATTTCTGTGCAGTTTCAGGCTTCCCCTTTGCATTACGTTTGTGCTCTCTCCCAGAGAAAGCAGGTGCTAGTGTCTGACCGGGTCAGACTGGCTGTGTGCTTCCTTTTGGCTAGGAGTTGGAAAGCTCCTGGAGCGAATGGCACATCAGGGTCTTCCCAAATGAGGCAGACACTTGTCTGCCTCCTGCTTTGCTACCTCCAGGAGCAAATCTAGTGTTTGAGCCCAACAGAGCCTGAGTCAGCAGGAGATGGTTGACAAGGGAAGACTCCTGCTACCATTTGTTTGCTGGCGCTATTTTGTGACTGCTGTAAAGCCTCCACCTGCAGAGAGCCTCAGAGTGTCCTCCTGTTTGTAAGGAGAGGGAGTTTATAAGGAAATACAGGTTCTTCCTGCTGCTTTATAGGATTATGGAGAAAGCTCCTTATAAAACATGAGGGTTGTGTTTTAGCACACTTCAGTCCCTTTTCATTCACAGTATGTTTCATTCAGAGCCCATCCTGGAAGGTAATTGTGATCTGAATGTTGGCTGGCCAGGCAGGTGAGGAAGGAGCTGCTGTAGGTATCCTGCATGTCCGTACTCCTTGTGCTGCAGAGGCCAAATCAGGAGCTGCCGAACTCAAGGGCTGTTGAGCAGAGCTCTCCTGTGTGTCAGTTATGGAATCACTTTCCATAAATATCTAAAGACAAATGTCAGGATGGGTGGGTTTGTGGGTGGGACTGTCGTAATAACGTCCCACTTAGCTGGAATGTTTTGTAACCCCAATCTTTATCCCTGACTTACCTCCAGCAATAATGAAATCCTGTTTATCTGCAGCCCATCCTCTCCCCCCATCAGCGAATATGCATTTGATTTTGTTGACCACTTTTTCTTTAAAAACAAAAGGCTCTGCAACTGTTAATGCCTTCACTGCTGTTTGATGCTCATTTCCCAATTTCATCTTGCTCCCCAGCTGTGATGGATTTTGACATGGTCAGATAAAACATTAATTAGATTACACACTTCACTTGGGTACCTTTCCTTCTGAACATAAAAACAGCCTCAGTTGTTTGCTTTCAGGGCTGTGAAGAAGGGAAGATGGATGGGGTTAGAAGCAATACTCAAATAAAGACCTGTTCACATTCAGGCTTTGGTTCTCGGAGGGATCTGGGTTAGATCTTGTGCTGTTCTGCTGCCGGTAAGGCATGCCAGAGATGTACTGTCATCCTTGGCAGTTAAAGAGATTTCACAGTTTTGTCTAGGATCTGCTTTCAAACAACAAGCTTGAAAGTCCTCTCCATCATTGCCAAAACTCCAGAAGTTGAAGAGGCTTCATAACGTGTCTGCTAACATTTCCAGAGGTTTTACCTTATGCCCTTTGGGCTGAACTCTGCAGAGTAATTCTTCCTGCATTGTGGCCTCCAGCTATGGAAAATTGACTTTTCAGAGGGTTTGGTGTCCCAATGACAAGGAGCCAACATCTTCATCCAGGTTAAATGCAACAGGGAATATGTTGTTGGTCCTACAGCACTGGTCAGGACAGTGGATTGCATGCCTCAGTAACACCAGGACGTGGGGGTTCCCTTCCCTGCTGTGATATTGTTGTCTTTGGTCATGGAATTTTTGCCCCCAGGTTTTCACAACTGTCAATAGTGTTGTGGGATGTTCAAATGAAAGATGCTGCCATGCAGGTGCCCCCACAGATTACTAACTGGTATGGTACAGTACAGGTCCATAGGGAATGGGGTTGTTGAATATAGTTTTGGAATTGCAGTCACTGATAAGGATTGCTTTCTTATACATAGTTGTGTTTTTTTCTATTCAGTTCCCAGCTGAAGAGGTAAGCCTGTTGGGTTAAGGATGAAGCAAGATGGGGACAGGTACAGGATGCTGATTTTTCATTGCAACAGGAGAAGACTGAGAAATATGTGCAAAAGCACAGAATTCCCCCAATTCCTGCTGATGGCTTCCCCTTCCCTGCTCCACTCCCATTTCCATCCCTTCCCCAGAAATCAGGGGTCCTGCCCAAGCTGGACAGTTGAACACCTAAAATAATCCTCAATGGCAGGAGAGTTCCCTGAGTGTGTGGAGGGAGCAGAGCACACGCTGTGCCCAGGCTGTCCCTCTGCCCAGGCTGTCCCTCTGCCCAGGCTTTCCTGCATCCTTGGACCTCATGATACCTCCCGCCCCCCGGGGTGAGCTCACTGGGTTGGTGGGGATGTTCTGGACTGCCAGCTTGGCTCAGCAGCTCACTGATGCCAGGCAAGAGAGAGCTCCAGATCCATGTTTGACTGCTCGGGGAGCTAGATGTCCTTTGGCATTCAAAGGTAGGGTTATATAGGTGTGCAGGAACACAGGGCCTTTTTGAACAGAAAGCACTTCCCTGGGGTTATCAGAGCACCTCTGCAGATCCAGGGGACACAGCCTTAGAAAGCAAAGGGCTATTGCTCCAGAGCTCGTTTTGCATCCTGAAGCACTTCCTGCCCTTGGCCAGCAACAGGCGCCAAAGGATTTTGGAGAGAAGTCCTGCCTGCTGTGTCTGGGTAGCTCAACACTCACTGCTCTGCTCTGTAACACAGATGGAGAACCCCAGCTGGCCTCCACCGTCATCGACACCATCATGGCTGGCCTGCCAGGACCACGGGGAGCCCCAGGCCCTGTTGGGCCACCAGGTAATAAACTCAGTTGAGCTGCAAAGCTGTAATGATGGGGAAGATGAGCAAAAGAAACTGAGGATGGAGAGAGGTCTGTGGGATGCCTGCAGGGAAAGCAAGTGGTCCCCACTTGAGGGCAGGAGAGCAGTGGGTCCAGGAGTGGGAAGGGTGGCAAGAAGTAACCAGGTTTCTTATCTGCTGATAGTGGCAGATAGTTCTACCTTTAGCAGGAGATACCCTGAGAAGGGAATAATTAAAGACTGTCTTTAACAGTGAGCTGTCCTGTGAGTTCCTTTATGAGAGCAGAGTTCTCAGCACTGCTGCAATCCAGTCCTGTTGCTGTAGAGCTCCACTGAGCAGGATCTGCCCAGCTGATGTGATGTGCGTGCAGAACTCTGGAGCTGGTTTGAGCTACTCCAGATTTTCACCAGTATAAGAGAATCAGAATCTGGGATAAAAATTCAGTGGCAAGTCTGTTTTCTCTGTGCTGATGGGTGGCTTAAATGATAGTATTCTTGCAGACATAAGCGCTTCCCTGTATGATGCATATTTAGGAGTGAACTCCCATTAGTTGCAGAAAAGGCTTTTCCTTTCATTCTGAGGGCCTTTAATTTATCCTGCAATTCTTTTATTCTTTAACTTAAGTATTTGTATGGTGCATTAATGATCAAGGCTGATTCAGCTGCACTTTGTGTATATTGTCCACATTGTTTCATCTCAAGGGTTGTGACAACTAAAGCAGAGAGGACTATTGCTAAGTTAAGGTTAAGCAAATACCCTGACTTGCAGGTGTAATTTAACAGCTACTGTGAAGATATAATTATTTTTCAGAATTCTAGCAGAATGGGCCTGTTAAGTGACTGTGCAGAACAACTCGACCTGGTTTAGGCAGTGTTTAACTCACCCTGGAAACAGGCTTTTCTGTGGTGCAGACCTGAAAAGAATTTGTTGCCAGTGGGGTGAGCAAAGAATAAGAGAGAGCTTGGCTTTGCCACAGTCAGCCTCTCATGCTGGCTATGGCCAAACCCTGTCCCCTTCATGGTCATCATCAACTTTCTGACACCACCAGGGAGACAGACCAGAGCAAGCTTGTGGACTTCCCTTGCCACCTACAAGGCTGTTTCAGAAACACCAGCTGCAGTATCTTGATCTGATGTAGCTGTTTCTTGGATCTAGTTTAAGAGTTGTCATTTTAAACAATGGCAATGAAGCATGTTACAAACACCCTTCTTGTTTTCACCTTTTTGGCCTCCCAGAGCTATAATGTCTTCCCTAGGGCATAGGGGTATGTTATATCAGGATGTGGGTATCCAACAATCCAGTGTGTGAATGCTGTAATCAATGCATGGCTCTTGCCCATTGAGAGATGAAGCAGAACAATGAAAGGAAGTGCATCTGTTTGGAATTTAAGGTCCTTCCTTCTAAGTCTCCTTAAAATTGTCTCAAATTATGATTCCCACCAGGGCCACCAGGAGCATCAGGACCCAAAGGGCCACCAGGACCTGTCGGAGTCCCTGGATCACAAGTAAGGTGCTTTAGTGCTTTGGGACTGAGTGGCTGAAGGGGCAGAAGTCAGGGGTTGGGTGTAAAACTTCTCATAGTACAAAGGGAGAGAGTAGGTTGTAAGTCTTAGATCTGATGGTTTTTCCCCATGAAATTCTGTTATTTTAATAGCTTTTTTTCCATTCTGAATTGTGTTTAGAGGTTGAAATGGTTGCACTTTCTAGATGCTCCCTTGGTCATAACAACACATCTTACTGTTGCTGTGTCAAACCATTTCACTGTGGCCTGAGTTGATGCAAAGGATCTGACATGGGCTTTACTAACACAGTGATAGAAACATACTGCATTTCCTGTGGAATACAGAGAGGGAACAAAAACGCATCAATGGGAGTTCACCAAAGTGAATCTGTTGAGCCTCCTTTTTCAGTAATAGCACTTTCTGTTCCAGAAAAATATCACAAATTCCCCTCAGTTTGATTATTTATCAATACAAAAATTGTGGAGGGGGGAGAAAATAATGAAGTGTGCTACACTCAAAAGAATTCATAGCAGAAGGGCAAAGGGAAAAAGCTGGTTAAATGGAAAGGAATGAAGTCATGATGAATAGTGAACTGCCAAGCTGCTCCCAAGGTGTGGTTGGCTGATACGAAAGGACTCCAGTTTTGGGAAGAGTGTTACTTACTGTGGAGGTAAACCAGTTACATCAGGTATTTCAAAGGAATCTAACATGACTAGGGAGAGAAAAGTGAAGAGCTTAAGTGACTTAGCAGAGGGATGTGACTTAGATCCTGATAAGAAGGGATTTGGAATTGCTGGAAATAGAGAAAGGAGATTCGTACTAGGTATTTGTTAATCATTTTGAAGAAGCAACAGAGAACAGGTTAGTGAAAGTTTGCCAGTGTAGCAGAATCATTTCAATTAGGGAATGCTCTGGAGAACGATGAGAAACTCCAGATAGAGATGAACACAGTGGGAAATTTGGCAGCAAAATGACAGATGCAGTTTAACGTGATTAAATAGAAGGTAATTCACAATTCATAAATAGGTTCTCCAGTAGAGTCTGGCTGTTGCACATGCAGCACACATTATAAATCTTTTATATTTTACAATTCAGCATGTGGAATTCGGTCTTCTCGAGTGTTCCTGAAAGTCACTGCTGAGAGTTGCCAAGAGCAAAGGATGCTTATGGACACTTAAGCTCTGTTCATGCTGCATGTTTGACATAGAGCTAAGTCTGGTTTGTGCCCTACCTCATGTAGCAGCCCTCTTTAACTTCCTAAACCAGGCCTGAGTTCTGAATTTGTTGTGGTCCCAGGGGAGATGTAGTGAAGGTGGAGGCCAGGTCACTTTGCAGCTTGGTGGTGGGACTGACTGAGGCAAAGAGCAGCACGTAATGGTGAGCAGCTGAAACTGGGAGAATGCTCTCCTTTCGAGCTGTAAAACACTTCTGTCCACCCTTGTTGGGACACTTAGCAGATGTTGAGACTCCTCGTGGCTCTGCCTAGAAAGCCCGTTTCTTTGGAGGAGGGGGTTTCTGATGCTGTTAAGCAGGTCGGCTCAAACCACCAGTGCTCTGGAGCAGAGCAGCAGTCTCATTGCTGTAGTCTCCAAGGTAATGTGCAAGTCACATCTTGCATGTGGTCATGGGGAGCTGATGTGCTGGATATAAACAAACAAGATTGTTCTCTCCCTGTCTGGTTTACAGCTGGTGGATAAGTTAAGAAGTTGCATCGATTTCTGCAAAGCAGTTCAATCAGTACAAATCTGGAGACTGTGCCCTTCTTCCCCACTGGTGACTGGGGTATAGATTTGTTCAACCCAGGGAGCAAAATTATTAGTAGAGATTGGGCTTAATTTGAAAATTGCTTATTAGGGTGAGTGAATAGCTTCAAAATAATTTTCACTGCACAATCCAATTACTTTCCAGGTATGTGTGCCTGTCATGCTGCCCACTGAGGTCATTATGAAGACGGGGAAAGTAGTGGGGATTTTTAAGCTAACCGTGGTATTCAACCGTGAATACCTGTGTATTCATTTCTTCTTGGTAACTGAGAACAGGAACTATCCTGTCATACTGACCCCTAAAATATGTTCCATCAGTAGCCTGCAGTGCATTCAAAGACTCAGAGGGGTATGCAGGAACTACAGGGCTCAGGCTATCTGTGAACAGAGCTTCCACTGGTTTTGCTTGCGGGTAAAAGATAATCCAGCCCAATTGCTTAATGGGTGTCTGAGATTTGCAGGAGCTGAGGATCACTGTGAAATGTATTCATTGCACCTACTCAAAGAATACACAGTAGAAAGTAATTCCTTCTTGTTCTGCATCTCTTCTAGGGCTTACCAGGCTCTCCAGGACAACCTGGACCGAAGGGCTCCAAAGGAGACCGAGGAGAGAGAGTAAGGTTTTACAGACACAGAGACATTCCCAGCCACATCTGGGATGATGTTATATCAGAAGTTATATTCGACAGAGGTCTTTCAGATTCTGTGGGACTATAGCCATGAATGATAAATAGTAGAGTTTCTAGGTCTTCTGCAAGAAAGAAGATGAGGGTTTACTGTACAGATAAAGGGTTGAATTGCTTGTAAAGTCTGGTGCTCCCTAAAGAGATTCAGGTACCAAATACATGGTTTTTAAAGGTTTGTGCAGACCAACTTTGTTCTACCAACCACAGCTCTTTTACTGTGGAGTATTTTGAGTGGTCTAACTGAACTCTTTTTTTCTGGGGCAGTAAGGCATAAAAAGCTCATCAGACTTTTCCTGAACCAAAGCCATTCCCCAGGTCAAATGATGTTCTTAATACATTTGGAATATCGAATTCATGTTGTTAATATCTTTATGCGTTATACCTGAGTTCTTGATGGGTTGTCAAGTGCTAATAACTAAGCATAGAAAAAAAGGCTGTTTGAATGTTATTTCCAAACTAGTGAAGTTTAGGAAACACCAGATCAAAATCTAACAAAGATACATATGTGTCAGCTTCCCAGTCCAACACCAGCGGTGTTTCAAAATGGCATTTGGACTTCCAGCTGCTTATGGTCAGCTTGCTCTCCAAAAGGCCATGGTCTTTGACTTCTCCTCTGAATGACACTAGGAGCATAAAATCATTTAAGAATGTAGTACCTAGCGGAGGATTGTTCGGCAATGTAGAATTGGGCACAGATGGACTGTGGCAATCACCAAGACCCTAGTGCGTAGAGGAGTCAAAGAAAGGAAGAAAGATAAGGAGTGAAAATACTGGTTAGTACCTCTGAAATGATGGGTGTCTCTGTGGTGACTGCACTGCCACAGCTGTAGGAAAATAGTTCCCTTTTCCAGGGCCACTTTCACTGTCTCATAGCTGGAGGTGAACAAGGAGGTCACCACCTGTAAAGGGGTGGCTGTAGATTACACACTTCCCCCATGTGGCAACATCTCTTCTTCATCTCTGCTCACTCTTCCAATCCAGATGACACAGGGAAGTCTGAAAGAGGTAAGACAAATAAATCCAGTTTGATGGCTTCCCAAGTTCAGGCGAATAACCAGCAACAGACTTAAACTATGCTCCTCTGTGCAGACTGGGTGCAAGGAGAGCAAGTCCTTGTTTCGTTCCCTCCTGAAGCGCCTCACGTTGAGGAGCAGCAGATATCTGAGGATGGAGTACACACGCTTTTAAAACACTGTTTTACTTTAGTACCTTTGCACATCGGTTTGGGTGCCTGGTCCCTGTTCTTCTGTACAAAATGACTTGCAGCTCCCTGAAAGACAGAGAACATTTTAAGTGACTGTTAGTAATTTCTTAATAACAGTTTCCTTGTGCAGAGCAGCCACTTTGGGCATGTATTGGCTTTACAAATAAACTGCAGGCTGATGGGACTAGAATATAAATATATAGAGAGATAGCAAAAGCATAACTGATGAGGTTTCAACACAGGTTACTGCCTGCAGCTCACTGCCATTAAATGTTGATTTTCAGTTAAGAAGAAAAGGCTTGGTATATGGCAAAGTGTCAAGTTTCCATCCAGGAAACTGATAAGAGCTCTTCCTCAATGATTCAGTTACCATTTTGCTTTAGTTTGTGGTTGATCAGATTGCTAAGGCTACACTTACTTTGAAACAAAAGCTTTGTTGGACTGTGTCCATTCAGTACAGACAAACCCTTTAGACTTTGCCTTTGTTCCCTCCTTGGTAGATACTCAGATTTGTGACTCTCCTTCTAGGCTGGGGACTAATGAGATTTTTCAAATACCAAAATATCTTGCTAAATATAACAAATAAATGACACTTCCTGTCCTGGCTCTGTTATCATGGAAAGTGAAGCCAGTAGCTTTTTCTGGCAGGATTTCTGTAGGATGCTTTGTGTGCTTTTTGTCTTCTGTGAGTGTGAATTTGAATGCTGGTTTTGACAACTACACGCTGCAATTTTGGGTTTGGTGGATACAAATTAGGGCTAGCTTTACACAGAGCGGAGGAGCTGTGCAGCTGCAGAGAAAAGCAGAGGAGGGTTTACAATATCTATTGAGATTTGAGAAAATGTTATTATACATTCTTCCTGCTTAATCTTGGAGAGAACAGATGTAGAAGAGACCTGAAGCAGTCTGAGCGCGTCCCCTGGCTGGCACATCTGTACGTGTGCTGCTCACATCAGCCTCTCTTCATCTTATTCTTACACAGCGCCAGGGAGGGATACACCACATCATCTCCAGGCAGTCTGTCTTCAGAGGTACAGCTAGTGAGGGCCTGGGATAAAAGACATTTCTAACATCCAGCCTAAATATCCTTTGATCCCCTTTAAGCTGATAACATCCTTTCTGTTCCCCCTGGCCATAGAGAACAGTCTGTTTATGTATTTTGAGTGTGTTGTTATGTCTCCTCTCAGTGATTTGTCTCTTGCCTGTGCTTTTTCACAGGCCTTACTCCCTCCTGTGCAGAATCCAAGTATTTTCCTTTGAAGATGCTCAGAGCACCTGACGAGCTGGGCCTTCCTCCCAGTGCTCTTTACGTCCCTATGGGCCTTTGCCTAGTGCTGGCTTTAGCTGCTCACTGAGCACTGTGCAGCTCTCCATAGTAACATTTTGTGGATGCTCTGGGCCCATTGAGTTTACACAAAGCAGCTCTCCCTTTCTGGCAAACACTACAAAAAGCTGCCATCAGCTAGGTAGTTTTTGAGGGGACAAAAGGGTGGGTTTGTTTCTGTGAATGCCTAGGGGAGAAGAGCCAGGTTAAATATGTGACTGTTTCATCAGTGGATTTCTAAAGATGCTTTTACATTTTGGCTCCTCTTCCCAAGCTCCTGCTTTCACATTAAATAATCTATAGTTGTTCTCCTGGTCAGGGATTCTGCCCTGCCCCAGTGTGCTCCAGGGTGGGAAGCCAACACTGGGAAGGCAGTTAGGGGGAAGAAAGATGCTCAGTTCAATGGCACATTTCATTCCACCCCAAACCAACACAGATCATTTCAAAAGGGTCAAGAAAACCCCACACTGAAAACAACATGAAAATTAGCACAGCAGGAGAAAGAAACAAAGCAACCAAAATACTGTAGGTGTGTTTTCATCAGTAGCTGTTGGGGTTAAGGCAGTGATGTGTGTGTGGAGCAGGAGGCAGATTAAATCAGCGCTCTGTGGGAGTCCTGGGCTCCGTTTGCTGTCTGGGGCAGCATCAGCCCATCAGTTTTACTAGCGAGAAGGATGTGGTATCTTTGTAAGAAACAAATCTCCAGCCAAATTCCTTCCTGGTGTAATGTAAGTGACTGCTGTAAAGTTCAGAAATTTGCTAATCGTCTTACTGAGAGGTACTGAGCTGAGGAGCTCTGGATTGAACCAAACTTCTCCAGGGCGTGATGGGATTTGGAGCTGATACTTGACAGAAAACCATAACCCCCTTTTGCTGTCTGAAGTGATAATGTCAAGGGAGAGGATTTTTCTTTTTCATAAAGACATCTTAATTCCACTAGTAAAAATGACACAATGTTCTTGTCAAACAGAAAACTATCTCCTAATGACACTTACTTTATTTCCAACAGGGACAAGCAGGTCTGGCTGGAGAGAGGGGCATTAAGGGATTTCCTGTAAGTGATGTACTTGCGGGTGTGTGCAAGACTCAGATGGGTTTGGTGCCTGTCTGGCACCACAGATACCACCAAGCTGAACTGCAGCTGGTCCCACCAGCACTCTCAGATGCAATGCTTAGGTCAACTGCCTCCAGCTTAGACATTTGTTCAATAGGAGAGCTCACCTTAACATATTCCTTTACATGTGAACCACAGTCTCCCTGCCTGCTAAGCACAGTGCTGGAATGCTGTGCTCAGGAAGGCATCATGCCAACAGGGGAGATGTGTTTTGTGTGGAGATCCCCTCTGGCCAAACCTTGGCAGCCAGAAGCCCTCTGAGGCCGCAGGAGGTTCCTGGCACTTCTGGAGCCCAAAGGTGATCTCCTTAAAATACATCTCCTGCTCTAACGTCCTCTTGCACCTTGGTATGCCAAGCTGAGCTGGAAACCCTTTAATGAGATTAAGAGATAGCTCCAAATGAGACAATACCTGAGCAGATGCACATAGGAGATGCCTGCCCTGGCACATATAGCTAGGGTACAAACAAACCCGTGGATGTGAAGGTTGGCTGAAAGTGAGCTAGTGGAGCAAGCTGGGGTTTTGGCTGGCAGCATCCAGAGAGGGCCTAGGTTCTTTGTGTGGTTTCTTTTCTCTTTTCCTTAATTCCACCTCATCGTTTTGTATGATGTACACAACCTTTTCTTCAGTCTTTCCTCCCAAACCCACCCTGCTTTGAAGTATCAAAAGGATGTCCAACAAGTTTGAGGAGCCCAGGAATATATGTTTAGCTTGTGTTTTAATCTCTCCATAACATCTGTCCTTTGGAAATGCATGAACTTCCTGGTCAGGGGGTGGAACAGCAGACCAGTAGCATATTGGGATCTTTGTTCAAGAAAAGCTTAATGAGCGTCTTCAGAGGCAGAAGGTGATGTGACTAATGAAAGCAGAACAGGGGGTTTTATGTTCTAAAGCAAAGATGAACACGTGCATGTCTGGGGGAAGGAAGCAGTATTTTTATCTCAGTGCTTTAGCCTAAAGCATCACTCATTGAGAGCTTCATGAGGTTCATATATCTTGTTATGGGCCCAGGCCAGCCAGCCCTTCCTGCAGCTTGGCCACTCCTGGCCAAGTGCTTCAGTGTCAGAAATGGTGACAACCTCCTGGGAAGCTGATGGGAGCCAGGACAGAGCTCATGAGGGCACTTTGGCCCTTGGCATGAAGCACCAGAGTCAGTTTGTTTTCTGCTGGTGGAACACTTTTGCCTTTAATCTGATCCATTGGAAGGAAGGGTTGCAGGTGGTCCGGGACAGGTCCTGAGTCACATTAAAAACGTCTTTCTTGTTTTAGGGTGAACCAGGCAAGAAGGGTGAGGAAGGTGACAAAGGTGCTGATGTAAGTGTGCATTCCTACTGTTATTTTACTTTCCTTTTTGCCTCTTAGTTATTCTTCGCCCATATGTCCATATGCCCTTTGGTAGACTGGTTTGTGGGGCAAGGGTTGTGTCCACAGTTAAGCACAGAGCAAGCAATGATGTGAACCTTAGGTCTCAACTGAATACATGCTAGAAATCCTGGTCTCCAAGGTTTCCCTGGCCACATTATCAGCTGCCCTTCTCACCATGTTCTCTGAACGCCTCCTCAGTTGTGGTTGTGCCACACAGAGCTCCTACAAGGCAGGGAATTCCTCGCACACTGTCCCTCCCACGTGCTCAGGGACAGCCTCTCAGAAGTGATCAGATTGCATGTGCAGAGTTGGAGTTCTCACATCCCTGCCCTCCCACCCTAAAATACTTCCCAACAGCTGCCTGTCCTTTCAAACCCACATCTAAGACAACAGGGGCAACAAACTACAGCCTGAGTTTATGCGGAAGTATGTGGGCAGGCTTCAGGCAGCATGGGACCCAGCTAGGAGCTCTTTGAGAGACAGTATGAGCAAGCTACTCTAGTGGAAGGTGTCCCTGCCCATAGCAGGGGTTTGGAACTGGAGGAACTTTAAGGTCCCTTCCAACCCAAACCAGTCTGGAATTCTGTGACAGGAATTTACACCCTGGGTTTGGCCCACTGCAGAACTAAGAACTAGTCTGAAGGGGATGACTTTGGGCCAAAGACTCTGCAAACCCTGCAGAGTTGTTTAAGTAGGGACCTCTCCTGCATTCCTCCTTAACCCCTGTAGGTTACCGTTTATAAATGTCTATACTACATAGTTTGGTGTTGTGGAGGCTACATGGAACAAGCAGCCTATTCTGCATCATATTCCGATGTTAGTTTTCATCCCCTTTTTGCAGGGGGAAGGTGTTCAACAGCTTCGAGAAGCTCTGAAGATTTTAGCCGAGAGGGTGTTGATTCTTGAGCACATGATAGGAATTCATGGTAAGTGTGGCTGAGGTGTTCATCTGTAGACAACTGGGGACTTGTTCAGGCACCTGCCTGATGGTTAAACATCCCCCCAGTCTCCTGTCTCTAGTATCTGTTTACGGTGGGATTTCAAAGCCAGGTACCCAGCATGACTTAAAGGATGCTTGATTTCCCCCCACCCAGTGATTTTTCATTGCAATTCAGAGAGCCAAGTCATGAGCAGCAGCCCAAGCCATGTGGCACAGATCATCTACCAGCTTCCCAGGGAGCTACTTGTTCGAGTCTTTAGGCCAGGTCATTTAATCCTGTTAACAGTGTCTTCCAAGTGACTTAACACCAGTGAGGCCCTTGTTTTGTTTCACAGAGAAAACCCAAACACTGCTACCGTGTACCCTGAAACCAGTGATCCCTGAATGTCTTGTGATTATAACGTACATAAAACCTATTTTCAAAGTTAGATTTAAGGAAAGCCGCAGGTGTTCTTCATTCCGATAGTTTTTAAGTTTCTGCTGAGGTTGTTTGCTCTCCCATTGCTGGTTCAGTGTGGGACATCATCCCTTAACAAGTGTTTCCTTCTTTTAACAAGTATATGGGCTGATGTGATTGTTGCAGATCAAGGTTCTCCCTTTGGGGTACTTGAGGATCAATTCACAGCTGCCAAAAGTTACTGTGCCAATTTCTGTCCTCTCAGGCACACAGTTACTACCCCAGCCTGTGAGACACAAGCCTCAGTTACTGTTCTTTGGCACTGACCAAGTCCCGAAGTATTTTCTTTTTTATACTCTCCCTGACACGTGGAACCTCATTCCTGGCCTCACTTGTGAATAGAGCTGCTCACACCTTCCTTCTGATCAACATCCTCTTTTATTATGAAATGGCCTTTGGATATTGATTTAACCTATGAAAATGCTAAAGAGCTGAAATATCCGGTAGTTCCTAAGCAAGTGACTTAAAGTGCATCTATTACTATGCAGTACAGCTCCTGCTTGAGAGCCCACAGGCCCCTCCTGGAGCCAGTACAGCACTAAAATGCAAATGCTATTAGGCACTTCAAAGCCCAAACAGTGTTGGTGTGCGGGGCTGTTGTACAGCTGAGCTGTCTTGGGTGTCTGCGCTGCTCTTCATCGTTCAATAGCCACGTGTCTTGTAGAGGCCCAAAGTACTATTTTTAAAAGCAATAGGCAGGCAGTAACAGCTTAAGCTTTTTGGGAAACCATGAATCACAAACCCATGATTTAACCACAGTCACCCTGACCTTACCTCTGCATTAATCCCAGTTTGATTCATGTTTTCATTGGATTTTATACATCGCGAGCAGGAAAAGATGCTTTTATGCTGCTTTGCTCTGAGATGGTGGAGGTACCAGGAAGATGCCCACTAGATCACCAGCAGCAATCTATGGCCAGCCAGGCAAGAGGGGAAGGGGAACTCAGTCCATAAGGACAGTGCAGCCTGTTTGCAGGACCCATGGCCTAGCTATCCATTGTCTTTTACTTTGTACCTTCATTTATACTAGTATAAAGCAAAAAGGAAGCTTTTGTAGACACTGGGGCATTCACCCAACTGTGCCCCTTCAGAACTGCCTGGTTTACCTTTCTTCTACAATTTATTTGGCAATAGAGCAGCAACAAGGCAAATGCTGCTGTTATTTTGAAACAGGCATTTTGGCAAACTATTTATACTGACATATTTTCTGCTACTGCTTGGGATGGAGATGAGTTATTTATACCCAGGTATGTTTCTATATGGGTGTAACTGCACCAGCAAAAATAGGTGTTTTTTTATTTGTACAGTGTAGTTAAGGCCATGTTTAAGCACCTATATTGTGTGACTTTAAATAGTTCCTTTTTAGCTAGTAACTGTAGATTATTACTAAGCAAGTGATACTTTTAGTCTGTTGAGACAGTTCCATTCTTTAATAGTGACATATTTTAGGCCCTTCAAAAGTACTGTTTAGAAAGAGAACTTGTAAAATTAGTTATTTTTTCCTTGTGCAATTATGTTCATCCCTGTGTATGTATATGGTTAAACAGAAAAAGACATAAAATAATAAAATAGGATTTCCTTGAGCACAGAGCTCCCCACGCAGGTTTAAAACACCCAGCACCAACTATCTCGTGATGCTCCCACTGTAGATGTTACAGGTTTGACCACAGGTTCCTGGGCAGCCCAACTCAGCCCAGCTTTACAGACCCATGCAGAAATGCCAATCGCATGCTCTCATTCTCCCAAGGAACCTCCCAGTCCAGTGTGGTTCCAAAAGCCGCAGCCACCCAAGCAACAAGGCAAAACATACCAGCAAACAAACCTCTTCCCTGCAATGGGAGGGCACTTGGAGATTATCTGGCCCAGCAAACTGCAGAGAGCAGCCCAGCAGGACACCCAAAAGCCCAAATTGTTTGGCAGTTTTTAGTTCCAGTGAACACAGCAGCCACATCCTCACTTGAAACTAACGCTGCCTCGTGGGGCCGAACCATGGCTGGGTGTCTGGCTTGGGAGGTTGGGTTCTTGGCAGGGAAACAAGCAAATGTCCATCTCTGAAGGCAAAAGGAAGAAGCAGCTGGGGCATTAAAAATGACGAGGCAGCACTGACTTATCAGCATCTGTTGCCAACTGCTGGGAAAACAGAAGAGTGGCTGTAGTCAAATGTATATTTAGCTTCCTGGGGCAGGATGCTTTAGGAAGAGGAGGTGTGTGTTTCTATGGGACACACTGGGAGACTGGACAGCTAAGATGTATTCCCAGCTCTATTGCTAATTTGGCTCTATCTTAGGGTGGATCAATCCCTTAGTTCAATCTTTTCAGTGCCTCAAAACATCCTTTACAAGGAGTGAAATAGTACTTACACCCCCAGGAGCATCACTTCCCAGTGACCACTTAGCCCTATCCTTCAATAGCAGGAGGCTGTTGGCAACGCTGACTAGCAGCTATACCCTAAGCAAATTATAATCAGTAGAAGAGCAGTGCTTTATAAATGGTATTATAAATGAGAACAGGACCTTTTCCCTTCCCTGTGAGGGTGGTAAGGCGCTGGCACAGGGTGTCCAGAGAAGTGGTGAATGCTCCATCCCTGGCAGTGTTCAAGGCCAGGTTGGACAGAGCCTTGGATGACATTGTCTAGTGTGAAGTGTCCCTGCCCATGGCAGGGGGCTGGAACTCGATGATCTTAGGTCCTTTCCAACCCAAACCATTCTATGATTCTATCAGTCATTCTATGATTCTGTGACCTGCTGGACCTCATGCAGGAAGTGTACTTAGCCTATAGCTTAGAGCAGAGGGAAAAGACCTAATCTAGGAGTAGTGCGATGGCAGCAAACATGTAGGTCCACAATCGCTTACTGGATAGAGATACAACAGGAGGGACAACACTTCTTCCAGAAGAGGTACCATCCAGAGGGGCCCATTTATTCTTTCCTTAGCCTCCCCTTTTAAATAGTGCTCTCCCGTGACTTTCTTTCCTTACAGACTCTTTATCTTCCATTGAGCCAGGCTCTGGACAGGATGTGATCCCGGGCTCCCCTCTGCGAACCAGCATCAAGATCAAACGTGGAGGACCGCAGCAGCCGCAGGCCTACCAGATCCTCTCTTCACTGCTGGATGACAGTGAAGCCAAAAGAAGAAGCAATCGGATGAAGTAGGAGCATCTACGTGTTCTCCGTGTCTGTTCACCAATTAAAGATAAAGATACAGTATCCCAGTGCTTAATTGCAAAGTGCAAATGGAGTCAGTAGGAGGCTTCAGTGTTGGCAATGAGGTTTCCTTACCTGGCCAATACTATGCCCTCGTTGCAGGAAATGTCTTATCCTTAACAAATAGGTCAGAGGGGGTCTGATGAACATTTGTCTTGATTTTGTTGGTTTGCCTTTGGAACAGCAGATGGCAGGTATCCTTAGAAGCTGTCTACAGAAATGACGCCTCCTGACTGTACCTCTGCAGTTTAATCCTCCCTTTGTTTTCTCACTGCCCTTGAGAGTTACTCAGTTACAAAACTGCTTAACTGGCCAAGACAATCAATCCCATCTAGACTCAAAGTCAAGCCTTACCCTTGTCCATTGGTACAGTGGATGGCATCCGCTCTTATGTAGTGGTGTCACGCTTACTTTCAGGTGAAGATGCCACTTCCACAGACCATTAAAGCACGACCTGCAGGGATTTCTTGTAAGGAAAAAGCAATTAAAACTGTTACTTTGAAAATTCAGGTAACTCTTTGGATTTTAGCATCAAAAACTTGGCTTTTCAAGTTGCTAATTGCATGTGAGCAGCGTTATTTCTATTTGTGGTTGGCTAAGCAAGGGCTTTAGATGCAAATATTCATGGCAGCAGGGGCTTTCTAGCTATATTCAGTGGTATTAGATTGTTTCTGTGAAAACATAGAGCAGTTTGTATGAGGTATGATGGAATTGTGCAAGAGTTTTCCCACACTGTGTTCAGCTTGTGCATACATCCAGGGGTAATTAATGTAAGCAGCAGCAGTACCTATTCACAGAAGAGGATATTTTGCAATAGTTTCTTAATCCTGCATCAATAAGGAAAAATGTTTTCACACTGTTTCATTTTTCTCTTGTGAATAAATCCTTGCCACTTGAATCTGGAGATGGTGTACTAGCAAACCGCAGCCCAAGGAATTAGTCTTGTCAAGAGCTTATCTTGCACTGGGAGTTAAATACAAAATCAGTTTACTTTCTGCAATAACTTGTTACTTTGGGGGAATTCCCAGCTTCCAGGGTTAGGAAGTTGAACCTGCCCTTCAGTGATACATGAATGACTGCACCTGCTGTGCAAACCACATTGGACAAGTTGATGCCATTCATGTTGACAGTGAGTACAAAGGGTGAGACTAATCAATGGTACCATTTTTTTTCACCCTTTTTTTAACACACCCCATGCCTGAAACAGTTTCCAGATTTAGCCCAGGATGAAAATGAGCAAATTGAGTTTGTGATTTTATAGTGTAAGTCAGGTAAATGGGTCACATCCTATTTGGTTCCTAGTGCAAGATAGAGCTACCTGACAAAGGCAAACAGCACAGCACTGCTACAGTATTTCCCTCAAATGCTGTTGCAAAGACCAACTGTAGGGTATGTATATTCAGCAACCCCTTGTACCCAGTTATATTCCTAAGGCTAAACCAGCAGCATGGGGTACATTGGAAATGAAGCTTAAAATGAAGGAGCTCTGCCAGCCCATCATTAGCCACACATTAAATTAACTTTCCATATGCGTAGTAAACAGGGTGGGCCTACAGGGAGCTCAGAACACCCAACTCTTTCCTCTGAGGAGCACTGTATTTTCAGGAAGGAGCAGGTTCCATTGGGATGACTGAATTCAGTGATGTGAAACTAGTGAAAAGATGTTTCCCCATTTACAGGCTGGTTTTAGTGCAGGAATTGAGAAGTACTTGATCACCTCTCTGCCCTGATCATGTAGACACCACAGGAAACGGCTGGTGGATTCCAGGGAAAAACCCCTTAAACTTACCAGTAGGTGTTGGACAGTCAGGCCCCGAAGACAGGCAAAATCCCAGTTCAGTCCAATGGTGGGCGCTGGGTGGGTTGGTGGTGGCTGTAGTCACCTGCCACATGGAGAGTGTCCTCATGGCAGCTCCAGGAACCAACCTTTCAAAAGGGAAACAGCAAAGTTCCATTGCACTGGTCCTGTTGCTCTGGGGTTCAGTTTGGGGAACAGGGAGTACAGGGGGGCCATTTTCACTTCCCTGGCACTTCGGAGCCTTCAAGTTTGTCATCCTGAATTCAAAACTATTGCATTAGATTTATGAGGACTCTCTTCAAGTCATTCATATTGACTCGGATTTGGGATTTTAAATGATTTAAAACAAATTACTGGCAAGATGAATGGAAACAGAATGGAAGTTGTTTGCAATGAATCCTGCCAAGTCAATTGTCAAAAGACTGGTTAGATTTGGGTTGCAACTGTTTTCATTACTGACTTTCCCACATTTCTGTATGAGCTATGTGGTTCTTTTTCTCCCCATGCTTTGATTTATTCAGCTACATCTCTCTGATGTGGTACTGTATCTTTAACTTGGGTGGCAGTAGGATTATACCAACTGGACTCTCTTTTCTCAGCTGGGATTTCATTCCTCTCTACTTACATAAGGGTCGGACCATGCTGTTGTGCAGTTTTAAAGGTGAACACAGCCTCACGCCCTGACATTGATGATATTTATCACTAGGCAAACCACTCCAACTACATCTTCCATCTTAGGCAGGAACTAAGGTTCATTTTAGCCAGGGCATATAATGCATCTTGCCATGTCTGTAACTTAGAGAGCGGATTTATTTTGAATGCGTGCTCATTTAGAAATATATTTTAATTGAAATGTTTAGTGCTTTCTCTTACCCACTGTGCAGTTCCATAGTGTGTGCATTTCCTTTTCTTTTCCTAAGACTTTTTGAAATGCTTAATGTTTCTCTGAGCTCCGGTGTGGATTTGACTTGGATTGGTTCTGGTTGTAGTAACACATTTTCCTTGCCTTGAGCTAACCAGAAGCAGCAGCAGCACATTGCACAACCAGAGATCTTTGTAATTCATGCACCCTTGTGTTCACCAGCAATCTGGTACTCCTGGGAGGAGGACAGTGCTTCTCTCCAGAGTATCTAACTTGCACTTACCGTAAAGAATTGATAACAACCCAGGGAAATAGGAGTAAGTTAGAGAGAAGAGCCCTCGCCCGCTCCCACCAACCTCCACAGTAATTTCGCCATCAACTTTCAAAGAAACAGGCCCTAAAAATCAGGTCCAGTTCTCAAGCTAGCATGGGTTGGTGCTGCTCAGTGCAGCCAAGCAGAGGGCATGTGCGCAGCTTGCTGAGGGCTCAGCTCTGGGCTGGGGGTTCACTCCCAGTCTCTTCATTGAACTATTTTAATGTAGGAACCTGACCACTGTGACAAAGGCTTCTAAAAGACAATCAGCTTCTGGAATTCCTGCCCAATACAATTTATTGGAAATCCATTCTCCTCCATGTTTACAGCTTGCCTGAGTCAAGATTACATTCCATGCCAGTGCTTTGGTGGTCCAGGGGATGAAAGTACTCGCAGTGTCTGCAACTGCGTTGGAACCAAGCAATTCAACTGCCATAACTGTTCACAAGGCACATTCCCAGCCATCTGAGGCAATGTTAACTTTTTCACTAGTTATTTTACACAGTATTTTTTTTTATTTATATCAATGTGTTTTGTATGTGTGCAAATGGTCCTGGCTTCCCTAATTGTAATAAGCTTTACAGCCATTTGGTCTTTTACAGGGCAGCCATACACAGCATCTTGCAATCATGTGTAGTTTCTTAACTTAGAGCAAGACTAGATCTCATCTGACATGATAAACTCCTTTATGGCAGGCTCTAATGTTTGTTGTAAACACAACCTGTTTGTTCCACCTCTTGCATGGTTACTTACCTGTTTTCATATTGCTATGTTATTGTTCAAAATAGGTATTTCTCTTTATTCGCTATGGGGTTTGTTACTGTATATGGAATGTTTTGTATTCAGCATTTTCTTACAGAGCAGAGTGGGAAAAGTATTCAAGAACCCACAAATACCAAAGACCTTTCATGTAATGCACTGAGAAATAAACATACTGTAAAGGAATATGATGTCAGGTGTCCGTATTTGCAAAGCTCAGGGCCAGAAAAGGCTTTCACCAGCTGAAGCCAAGTCTGGCAGTTCCCTTACCTATGATGGGATTTGACTGTTCTGCAGATATTGGCATGACTGCCAGCTTGGAGGTTTCAGGTTGGTCTCTGGGACACACTGAGGCACTACTCTGCATTCCCAGCCACTCTATTGGAATACAGGCATGTATCTCATCACAGTTCCCTAATTCCTCAAGCAACCTGGATAAGCCTTTGAGCACTATCAGCTTTGAGCACCTTGCTTTGCATTGCAGAGTGAGGCAGTACTTGGATATGGCAAACTCTTCCTGCAGGAAGTGTGCAGCTATTCCTGCTGGAGTTTTATGTCAGTACAGAGCCAGGGATCGCAGCTTGCCCTCAGCTGTGCGAGGGCACTCTGGGAACAAGCCACAGGCAGTTCTGCACAGTTTAAGAGTACCTTAAAATCTGTTCTTTCCAGCTTGCCTCAGTGCCTCGGGTTTCCTTGCAGCTCAAGGAGGGCACGTTGGCTGGTCTAGGAGTGCAGCAGCCACCCAGGTCCCCTTCCTGCAGTCCCCTGGTACCTCCTGAGCGTCTGCCTGCTCCAGAAGTGGCTGTGTTTGCCCACTTGTGCCTTCTCTGGACTTGCCTCTGGGCTTACAGAGACCCCCAGAGACGTCATCATCTCTTGTGACCATTCAAACTGTTATGAGAGGATGTGGCTGGAGACTTTTGTGGGGTTTAACCTTCCTATGGTGGGAACAACTACCCATTTAGAATTAACTACCTGTCTGAAGAGGGAGGCTCTGCTCTGCCTGTATTGGCTGTAGAGGAGGACCTGGGCTGTTTCTGTCAGAGATGCGACAGTTCTGGTTTCTGAACTTGCTTTTCACATCCTAACAAAAGATACGTAAATCACAGCCAATTTTGTCTCCCTACTGATCAGATTACATTGCAGATATGCAGGTACCAATACTGTGGCAAAGGCTGAATCTTGTAAACACTGAGACCATTCACAAGGCCTCTGCTTCATACAACTTTTTGCATCACTGATGAGGACATACCCAAGGTTACTTGATGCCAAACATTCCCATGCAGCACTTCTCTGGGTCTCTCCGGGTGTATTTATCTTGGTTTTTGTGTCCTAACTCGTCCACCTCTGGTGCAGTTATCCTTGCAGAGAGCCCTCTGAGGAAAGCAGTTCTGTTAATCACTATTGCACAGATTGGGGGCTGCTGGATAAAAGGCAAAATTAATTTCTCGGGACATTTGTGGCTGTGCTGGCTCCAAATTAGCATCAGGCCCATGTTGGTCTCTGGGCCATTATGGCCACTGATTGTAATCACAGCAAGGGGAAACGGCGCTTTTCCTAAAGCTCAACACAGCACAACAGAAATCAATGGCAGAGTTGAACAGACTGAACTTCTCCCAGGAGCTGATTAAAAGAAAACCATATATTCATAAATGAAGCAGTTACTCTTTAACTACACTGCCTTAACGCTTCATTAGCCACATGCTCAGCAGCAACTCTCTATACAGCTGACTTTGGAAAGAAAGACAGACAAGCATTAACCTCATAGTAAGAACAGCTCAACAATGTTGTTGTCTACATTCCCAGAGCTGGAGTTCCTTCCTCATGTTTCAGCCTGTTGTATGTGACCAAGGAAGGGCTTCCAGGGGTACCCCCCCCACCCCAACACAGCCTGACTGAGCAGCTGTAACACACACTCAGCCTGGGGAAGGGGAAAGCAGGGATCCCAACACGGGAACAAGCTCATCCTAAGCTTCCCAAGCAACACCATGGCCAGAAAGGCAAGTACTGCACTGTACATGTTATAAAGGAAAAGTAATCAGGGATTCTATTACCCCATGTATGTACCACTGCGACCTCTCTTAGAACAGTGTGTTCACCAAAACAGTGACAAGTTGATTCAAAGGTGGATTGGAAACAGTTTGCTTGGCATCCAGGAGAGCCTGGTGGCTGGTCAAGCCTGACACAGTTATATGTGAGCCTGTATGAGAGAGGCAGAAACAGCCCCACCAGGAGGCAGATTGCCCCACCTCCCATCCCAAACTCAGGACAGGCTCAAGCACCCTTAGACAAAGCTGATGCCATTTTTTTCCTTTATCCAAATGACAAACACATTCTTTACAGCCTAGCAAGGAAAGGGTGCATCAGCCCCTGGCTGGCAGATAAAGCACAACAGTGCGCTGGTTTAATGACAGTGATAATTAACCACTGTAACAACTTGCCAACGGCTGCAGTACAGCTTTTACACCTAGACAGTTTTCAAATTAAGGGAGGACTTTCTCATCCTAAATAGAGGAGAGCAAGTGTGTGTGTGTATATAAATATATTCTGACTCAAGGAATTCGTTCAGAAGAGCCAGACTAGATAATGAAACTGGTAGAGCACTGACCATAGTTACAAATGACCCTTCCTTGCTTCCCCTGCCTGTACTGTGCACAATACACCTAGTGCTGGTGAGAGCTGCTGCTGGTCACCAGATAAATTCATGGGAACTGGATCATTGTAGCATCACACTGAAAGATTTCTGCCCTAAGCACAGCTCTAGGACACCCTGTCTGTGTGCAGTACCCAGAGAGATGCAGGCTGCTCCGACAGCTGACAAGGATGGAAAACTTCTGGCATCAAACTTCTGGCCTGGGCTGGAGGTGCCCCGCTGCTGCTGGGCTAGAAGGGAAAGGCTGAGTCAGAGAACCAAGACCTGGCCCGTACACGGCACTGGTATGGCTGTGGCAGCACTTGTGTGACTGTGCCAATGAAAACCTGATTTATAGATGACTGGATGGAGTTAATGTTCAGCCAGTAATGAGATGTGACAGCTAAGCTTTAGACTTAGTTCAGAAAACAGACTGGCTGAGAGATTAACGGTGCACGATAGATCCTGGCAGCAACCTTCTCTCTATTCCTCAACCACAAAACCATCTTCAGAAATGGACAGGAGGATGTGGTTTTACTGGGGAGATGACTGTAGAGCTCCTGTCTCAACAAGACTACATCAAAGGAGCCAGAGCTTTTGATTCAGTAGCAAGAGAAGAAATAGAAAAATTCACCACAGGTAAGAAAAGGGCATCAGCTTCTATTAAGCAGCCATAATCCTTGCTTTTCAGAGCAGCTGGTATTGTGTTGGAGATGCCAAGGTTACAGGCACGGGGTAGGAACCCGGATTAAACAGCCTGGATGAAGAATAACTTTCAGCTCGAAGGTTTTTTAGCATAGGACTAAATCAAAGCAGAGAGATCCACAGTGTGTAACCCCAAGAGATATATCACTAGGAGGATCCAAGTACCACACATCAATTGAAAGGAGCAATGTGCACACCAAGTAACTGACATAGGAACTTAGCTACCCGGTTACTTCTGCTCAACCAGTCTAACAGCAAAGGGACAAAACCCCATGTTCTGAACTGCTCCAACCAGCTTCCAATTCTGAGAAAAACAACCAACAAAGCCCTGCCAGTAACAGAATCAAGGTCAGCATCTGCTGCAGGTACGGTGAAATACGCTACTGAAACAACTGGGAGAAACCTAGAGCAGCCTGTCTGCTCTGTGCATAGAAAAGGAAGAGCCTCAGTAAACATGCTCAGAAATACTGAATTAATCCATTTGATCATATCCTGAGAGCTGCCTTCAGCCAGGCTTGCTTACAGTGAGATACGCTGGGGGAAAACAACCTGGGTTATGGGATTAGAGAATCCCTATGCAAAACAAGCCAATGCTGCTCATGGCGCTCTGCACTGTTCATGGTGGGCTGGGCCCCCCCCTCTGACTGCCCAAACGTCAGCCTACTTCCAAGGAGAGAGCAAAACTGATAGGGGAGAGCCAATCTTTCAGGAGGTACTAATAGAGAGGAGATACACTGAAAGCAAGTTAAAGACTCCCAGGGAAATACCACTATGAGAAGCCCTCCTTTGGCAGATGAACTCACCAAAACGGTTTCCCCAGGCTTCAGGGAGCCAGCTGCCTTAAAAGCACCCATGACTGAAGAATAAACCTTTACCCCTTCAGGAGGTGCTATAACCCACGCTCCAACAGAGCTCTGTAGCCTAACCTCACAGCACATCCCAGAAAAATGAGGCAGAAGCAGCCCTGAGGGGCTGTCCAAAACCCATCCACCACAACATTCCCAACAGATGGTTCTCTGTCCTGGCCCCAGGCTGATTTCAGCACCATCAGTCCGCTACTGGTGGTACAGTCTAACCTGCAACTGAAGTCCTTGATTCCTCATCTTAACCTTACAGGTAGGATAGGTTAACACTGTCATTTATTACAGCAATCTTCATGGGTTTGATGCAGAGGGTTGACCAATGTACAGGGGGGTTGTACAGGGGGGTTAGAGGAATTTGCTTGCATTAGAGGAATTTACTTGCCTAGACAAGGTATTGTCTGTTGTAAGTGCTTACTAAGCAGAACAAAGACACCAAGTCCTATTGATAAGCAAAAGCAGACACCTGGTCCTATTGATAAGCAGACACCTGATTATAATGATAAGTAGCTATTGATAAGGAAAAGCAGACGCCGGATACGGGAAGAAGCAGATGGTTTATGGCTGGGGCACCGACCAAACCCTAAGACCATATGTGTGAAGACTAAAAGGTGACAAGTTCAAGAAGAGGAAGACTCATTTACTTCATCTTGAGACCCCTGCCCATGACCAGAGGGGGCACTGCGCAGGCGCAGAGGACTTTCTAGGTCATTGTAATACAAAGCGGGGATAGAATATGAATATGTATAGGCGTATTGTGGAACCTTGTAACTTTAGAGGATAAATGTAGAGGGAAACAACACTGAGGCACGCATGACTTTTGGAGGATCAATCCCCCGTGCGTCTTCAGCTGAATAAAGCATACCTACTTTACAACTTTAACAAAGTTGTGGAGTCTATTCTGCTATCAGTTTGAAAACCAGCTCCTTCTGCTCTGTACAATTGTCTCCTTGAGGCTAAACCCACTGTTGTGTTCTGTTTTCTCCCCCCCCCAGCTCACACTTTGTGGGTCTCTGAGCACTGGCATTGCTCTCTTCTGGAAGAAGACACTCAGGCTAGGGCAGAGAGGCTGGCTGCAGCCTTTCCACCACTCAGGAGAGCTGATGGATTCATTTCGTCTGTCTGCAAACTCTTCTATTCATACCTGTCAGTACAATTACACCTCTTTCACAGCTGCAGGACCCTGACGACAGACAATAGCCCCTGAGCTGCCCTGCTCCAATTTAATTCCTTCATAAGGTCTGCTGCCTTTTCCCTACTAACCCCAACCACCTTCTTTGTCCCTATCAAATTTCACCTGTTCTTTTCCAGGCTCTGTGGGTTATGTTCAGCTCCCACTCTAATCCCCCAGTGTACCTCGAGTCCCTCCCAGCCTGATGTTATCAGCTGGTTTAATGAACAAATCTGCCAGATTCTTGATGAAAACAATAAAGAAGACTCCAATAGAGCAATAAGCCCTGGAGAGCCCCAGGGCAGCCACCTACCACAGCTGGCAATTCCCTGGGAGCTGTACTTCAGCCGGCCTTGCGCCCACCCTAATGTGGCTGCCTGAGACCATGTTTTACTGACTGGCTCATGAGAATGACACAGAGCTTCCAAAGCCCTTCTAAAATCAAGATAGATGACATCGACCTGTTCCACGATATCCATACAGCCTGTTAACTTGTCATAAGAACAAAGGAGATTTATCTGACTTGATTTGTTCTTGACAACTCCTTGTCAGCTGCTTCTGTTCTCTATAGCATCCCCCAGGTGTTCACACACGTTTAAGTGTGTGTTCCTGAATTTCCTGGGGTTCAAATTAAGCTGTTCTGTACTTTCCTGGCTCTTCTTTACCTCCTTTCTAAGCACTGGTGTTTCATTTGCTCTATTACATTCTTCCAGTGCCTCCAAAAGTCCTTCAAAGTAGCTGATAAGGCACTAAAGCTGCATTACATCCACCACCTCTCCAGCAGCCCTGCATAAAGCTCATCAGGCCTTATCAATATGAAAATGTCTCATGGCTGCCTGCATCCTTCTTGGTTTTGCCTTTGTCATTCCCTTGCTGGTCTTAACTGCACCAGCTGCATTAAGATAGAGATGCAAAGAGCTATTTAAGACTTCAGCCTGAATGTTACAAGCTTCTTTTCACCACTAAGTAAAAGCAAAACCCCTCTACCATGAGGCTGCTGATGTCCTGCTCCACCTTTCAGTGCTGGCAGAGACCTTCAACAGGAGCATCCTCATCTGCTTCCCTGAGCTGCTCAGTGTATGATCCTTCAGGAATCACTGCGCTGATCCCTGCCTGCATGGGGCTCTCCAGGAAGCTGCCAGGGCAGGGCAGAGAAGATGTCTCCTTCCCAAGGCAATCATGTGGCTGCTACTGCTCTCTAGCTTATTGCAAAATCCCCAGGGAGCACAGCTTCCTAACCCCAGCCTGTTGCTGGCCTATTCCCAATTACAGAAAAGGAAAAAGGGAAAAATCTTACTTAAATGTTACAACACTGGCTCAAAGCAAGAAAATCAGCAGCCGATGCCAACAGTAGCCATGCATGGAACAGCTATTTTGAGGTAGGAGGAGGGGAAGAAGAAGGAGATGGGGGGAACCCTTCTGAATGTCTCAAAAGGAAGAATATCCTATGAAACTTTTTAACCTGTTACATTATTTTCCCTTCCCATCTATAGTATTTACCCTTAAATCAAGATGTGTGCAATGTTCCTTTAACTTGCCTGCTGTTACTCCCAGCAAGCTCTAAAACTGTGCCTGAAGGAAGCTGCCCAGCACATCTCTCATCCACATACACTGCAGCAAGTACCATAACCAACTGCAGCTCTGGGCCAACAGCCTCAGCTTGCCCTGCAGAGATGATATCCAAGAAGGGTCCTGTGAAAGAAGGTGAGGATCCTGGTTTGTACTTTTCCCCCCTTGCATCTATGGTTATATTCTTTTCCTCCAGCTATCACCCATGTGACAGTGATGAAAGGAGACATTTGAGGCTACAATCTGCTCCTTGCTGCCATGCGGGGAGCTCACGTGGTTATTCACACAGTGGCTATTGTGGACTACAGAAACACTGTGCCCTTTTGGGAAATGAGAGCTGTCAATGTTGGGGTAAGCGCTTTAAAACAAGCAATTAAATACAGCCTTCAATTCACACACCTTGGTGGAGACAGACAAGAGGCTATGACAAACACAGCTGCGCTGATTTAGTGCTCCTTTGTCCCCTGAATTTCACACACACACTGGTCTGCTATGGGGTGAAAAAGGTGCCCAGAACCTTTCATTTCTAGGGGGGAAGTTTCTGCTTTTGCCCCTCTGTGCTTGCTCATGGCAGGATGTGCCATTCCTCTCCAGTGCTAAACCTTCATGTTAGAAAATCAAATCTAGACCCAGTTATTACCCGGTTATTCTGGTCGAAGGTATAACTAATAGTACTGAGGTGACTCAGGACATGTCTATAGTGGTAAGAAACTGTTCAGTATGAGACAAGGACAACAACTGGAAGTTAATGACTGTTCTAAATAGCTCATAGCTTTCCCCAGGAAAAAAGCCCTACAACATACACCAGCACAAGGCTCCACCAGTTGAACTGCATCCGCTATGAGGGAGTGATGTTATTTTAACTGTAGTCAGAGCTCCCAACTACTACGTATCCACAAGCCATGCATAACCAAGAGCTCACAGAATTGTCTCTCTACCACCAAGCGCTGACTTCATGTTAGGTGCAAGGTCTGCTTAAAGAAAATTTGTTCATAAATCTAGGAAATAAGCACAGGCTATAAAAATAATGAAATCCCCATTACAGCAGCAATTCCAATGGCACCTCAGGCTGTTAGCTACTAAAATAGTTGTTAACCACAAGGAAGGATTTTTGTATTTTTATGTGTATATATCTATATATATATCTCAAACTCAGTTACTGCTTAGGGCTTCTCTTATTTGCTGATACATTCAAGGGCAACATCTAAATCCCATTCTTCTTTTCATTGCTGTAGTTCTTTTCAAAACCAGATGCTTTTAAGAGCCTGTACTGTGCATATGTACTGAGAATATTCAGAGCCTGAGGGTTCCTGCTGCCTTTTAATGTCTTTGTGAGATCTTCCCCTTCATTGTCTGCTTGCTATGAGCAAGGTACTTCAGTGGAGTGAGGTTTTTACAGATAGCAGTAACCATTGGGCAACTCCCCTATTCAGCAAACCAAACCTCTTGCAGATGCTTGCGACATTCCCAGAAAACCACACACACAAAGTTTATTCCCAAGTGACTGAGTGCCTCTGAGGAGCACAGTTTGAGGTGCCTTAACAGGAGACTTATTTTCAGGCAAACTCTTCTGCAGTTCTGCTTGCCCTTAGATGGCTTCATGTAGACCTCCCTAAAGTGAAGCTGCTGCCCTCACTAGGTCTGCTCAATCTAGAGAGGGATCAGGCTAAAGGTTTCTGTTCAAATCCTAGCAGGTAAAAGAATACAAATGAATTGTATTTGATAGCTGCTGTAGGCTTCATGGAAAAAAATAGGGTCAGGACAGGTCAACTGTGTAATCCTCTAGTGTGCAACTCAGGCCACAGAAATTCACCCAATTACTGCCTTAAGCCCAACAATTTGTGGCTAAATTGGACTTTGCCTTTTCAAAAGACTCCTTGCCTAGAATGCAACTAATGGGCTATCCATCATGTCTTTCAGCAAGCCATAACAATGCTGAAGAGCATTAGTGTGGCTATGGTTAATCAGCATTTCTGGCCAAAATTTACATCTTCTGCTTTGATTCTCTCTCTTTCAGCCACTGGTTGCTGAATCCTGTTACAGACTTGTTGACTAGATTCAAGAGTCCTCTTCTACAAGAGTTATTTTTTTCCATCTAGTCACTTAAAGACTTTTTAATCTGCTTTTTGTTAAGCTGAATGGATTTTAACTTGGCTCCTTTTTAGTAGCAACTATTAAGTCCAAGTTAAGTCAGTTGTCAACAGGCACAGACATCAAGCCACATTATAGCTACAGATGTAACTGTAGCTCTCATGTTATAAACCATCCATTCCTACACAAATGTACCTAAGGAACTGCAGCCTTAACCTGTAGCTTTACATCTATTCAGCCATAAAAAAGATGGATCTGTTCCAAGTCAGAATCCCAAACCCGGAAATCTCTTTTGATTTGCACAACAGGAATGAAGGCAAGATTGATAATGTTTGTCCTTCCTGACCCCAGATACTGAAAATGTGTTAAGGGCCTGCTGTGTCCTGAGCATCCCATATGTTGTCTATACAAGCTCCATTGCTGCAGTGGGACCGAATGCATCCTGCGAGCCAATGCTCAGGCAAGGGTAAGCAAACCTTCTCCACTGTGGATTTCTGGTGAAACAGCAGTGAAACTGCAACCAGATGGAAATTTTTGCCATGGCTGCAAAGGAAAAGGTACACATTCCCCTTCCTGTCTGCTCTTCTCTTTCTTGGAAATCCGTCTTTGCTGCTCTTCACTTTCAGAAGCCACAGCTCTTCCCAACATAAACTTGACCAGTAGTGAATACTACCGATGGAAAAAGTTGGTTGAGAGATGTAGGACCTAACTGCACCTCCAGGCTGTCCCCTCTATGCACAGCCCTGCTCCCCTAAGCCAGAAAATCAGTTTCAATAAAGGTCTGAGATGCTTGAAGTTTGTGATATGGTCAAGTTGTATCCCACTATGTGGTCAGAGTTTTGCTCTCTCTTCACACTGTCTCAATCCAAAAGGCAGGGGATGCTCTACTGTTACCAACCCACTCTCCCTCCTCTTTTCAGCTCCATAGTGAATTGTTAGCCAGCTTGTACCTTCTGTTATCAGATGTGTTCAAGTGTATAGAGACTCTTTTAGCACCACCTCAGAAGAAAGTTACTTGGCCACACAGTCTTAGGGGACAGATGCATTTGGTGGGAAGTTGCCCTTCAGTATTCACACACTCTTCTGTGACCTGGATCTGACCTATAAATTGCATCTTTCTATCCCTCAAAATCCTTTTTCATGGCAGTTTGCTTACAAGGGCTAATTCCTGGACTATGCTCAACCCATCCCTTCTGTATGTGGCTCTGATGAGACTGACTCTCAGCCCCAGAAACAGCAGTTTTAGTAAAACTCCCTAGCAAAGGATTTGGAGTAATACAAAGACAGTGTCAAAATTCAGATTTGGAGGGATTTTTGCTTATAGATCTTTGATACCCGAGATAGAACTGACTTTCACATTCAGCTGACACTCCTGCTCAGGACCTGACATCTGAATACCTCTTGCATTCATGGGGCAAGACAGAGCTGGCTTCAGTCATTTGGCTCTAGGAATCTGTGTCCAGCTAAAAAGTCTGCTTAAGACACAACTTAAAATGTCCCAGAAGCCTAAATTTCATACTTGCAAGTAAGTTAAGGCATAACCTAATTGTTCTGAAAAGGGTTTAAGCACCTAAAGCTGTGGAACAGAAGTCTGGCTTATGAAAAAAGTCATGAGAACAACAAACATCAATCCACTTGGACCATAAGCACTAGAGGTGGTGTGTCACTGAAAAGTTGTGGAATTTGGTCATTAACATACTTAAATCATTCTTAAAGATGAAATGGATAAAAAAGAGGAGATGAAATTAAGTATTAACAAGGGCACATACTTGTTAGTATTTCAGTCCTGTAACTTAAAAGATAGATGTGAACAGATGGCTTAAAAATCTACCCCAAATCTTGTCTAAGAAGCCAGTCCTTTGGCTTGCTATGATGGCATCAACAGGTACAAGCCAAAACCCCATTAGGCAGATGCTCACAGAGCTACACATGAACATCACCTGCCTTCCAACTCCCAATGCTTTCCCATCATAAATGCAAATAAAACCAGCACCTAGCGCCTTTAACTCATCTTGCAGAACACACTTGGGTTCTCCCATGATGCTGGAAAAAACCCGAGAGAGTGATCTTTGTTCTCCAGTGATTCTGACTTTAAACTAAGGGAATTATATACTGCAAAATGAGAGAAGGCTCAGCCCCCCGGTCAAAAATTCCACCCCCTGTCTCAGGAGGGAGCCCAGGGATGGCTGGAAGGCAACCTAATATGGCTCTGTTTTCCAGACTGAAAGCACAGGTGATGCAGCATTCCCCTTCCTCCTCATCTCACCTCCCCCATTCCCACCGAATCTGCTTTGCACCTCCCCTCCCGGTCCACAATCCTGCCTGCCTGCCTATTTCTTTTTCTCTATCCCCCTTCTCCATCATTCCTCATATAATTTAGTTAACTCACTTTTATGTGCTTGGGAACTGACCCAGACAAAGCATGATTAGTCTCTGGACAGGGTGATGGGTGCAAGGGATAATGCTCACACCTCAGCATCCGACAATAATAGAAAATGCCTCTGTCAGTCTCAATCCCTCTGAGACAGCCACTGCTGAGATACCTTCTGACAATGCTGCTCCAGTCTTATTAGTGTTCGCTTATCTGTGATCGTTTTGAAAAGCAAAAGCATTCTGCTGAGCTCTTTGTTACTACCCAGCTTCACAAGGGGTGGGGGAAGGCAAACAGGAGCAGTGCTCTGCAGCCCAGGAGCAGCAGGCAGGTTTGCCCCTTTGTGAAGCTGCTTTTCAAAGCTTTGCAAGGCAAGAAAAAGAAAGCAATTAAACCCAGAACTTCCAGATAACCCCTGATTGTCCTGAGCCTCTCCTGGGCTTGCACCAAACCAGGCGCAATCCATCTTTTGTTTTGCTTGTTTTCTGGTTTGCCTCTTGCTCATCACCATAAACACAGGGAAGGGGGGAGGAGGGCTTTGTGCTAAAAGCCCCAAGGTGAGGAGTCTGTATGCTGATGCTCCTCGTGTATTTCTGTTGCTGTAGCACAAGAAGGCCCTGCTCTCAGCTGGGATATCTGAGACACATCTAGACTGCCAAACAGGCGGGAGAGGGGCAGCAGCATTATCCCCATTTTACACACGGAGCATAGAAAAGGGTAAGCAAGTTGGCCAAGGTCAGCTGGGAAGCCTGAGTTAGAGCTTGCTCCCCCGAGGCCCAGTGTTTGACAGAAAGACCTCTGCTGCTGATCTCCTGCAGGAACTGTCACAGGCCACTTAACCCTCCCAAGAGGGAGCCTCATCTGCAAAAGGAGCTTAATAAAGCATCGTTGCTTTGTGTGGGGGTACCCCATGCCGGACATCGTCTGTGTTTGCCTAGGGTGAAATTCCCTAGGAGAGCAAAATACAGAGGAAATGAGACAGTCTCCTGCAGCACACAGAGGGAGGAAGGGAGAGCCCCCCCATGCTAGTCATGGCAGCAGGGGAGCAAAGGACCACATGGTATCATTAATCAATTGCCCTTCTCAACACTTCAAACAAGGTTTCTTCACTCTAGGGCTCCTCCAGAGTCCGCTGAATCTGCTTAACCAAGTCCCGAGATGGACTAATGTTGATCTACAACCACTGGGACAAAACACCAGCACCATGGAGGGGAATAGAGCTGCTTCTTGTTTCTCCTTGGAATCATTTCAGGGCCTGTGAGCCCAAGTTACATGTTAGATTCCATGGGCCTTCCTCCTTGCAGCTGTAAGTTAGGAGGCTGAGGAGCAAGTCGGCTGCCATAGTGGCAACTAAGTGTCTCCAGTATGGCTGTGAGCCCTCCTTGCCCTTCATCATGAGTCCACTTCTTTGCTCTTCCCCTCAGATGTAATTTGCTAGGGGAGATGAAGGATTAACCCCAGAACAAACCCACTGATTGCATGTCTTCCAGGAGATCAACACCAGCTCTGTCACATCACCAGCAAATGCCTTCCTACTCTAATCAACAGAGAGAAGTCAGCAGCAGCTTCTCCTTTTAGTTTATGGCTCATGAGAAGCTTTCCTCTACCTCTAATGAAAAAACAAAGCAGGATTGCTTTTATTTTCCTGCCCTCTTTCCACCTTGTTCAGCCACTTGTGAGCTGCTTAAAAAAGGTACCTCCACTGCCTTCTAACTTGCCTGCCAGTACGTTATTTGCTTCAATCACACTATTAGACACAAACAAATCCAGCCCTCAGAAATCAAACCACTTCCCTCATGCAAACCTGCCTATGAACACCCAGAACCAACTGGTATTTCTGAAAGCCTTATTTCTGCCCAGCTGCAGCAAGGATCTCAGTTTCATGTAACTCACAGCCAGTGGTTAAGGCCCTGGAGAGCACTGATTGCAGAATAAATCACTTTGTGACAACTGTCTCCAAGTCCTCTGCTCTACTCCATGGTCACTCATCATGTCTCACAATCTATTTCAGAGAAAATGAGGACACCAAATACAGTGGGGATGTGGAGCTGCCTTATGGGAAAACAAAAGCCACAGCAGAAAAACTTGTATTAGAAGCCAATGGAAAAAAGGTAAAAGAGCCAATGGTAGCACCCAGCACAGGATGGATGGAAGAAGAAGATGAATAGAAAGACCCCACAACTCACATCAGTGTGTATTCAACCACTGCCTTGACTCGATGCATAAACCACACTGCCCTAAGCTTACCAAAGCCTGGTATTCCATATCATCAGGGAATCTCACAAGGTGCACTTTTAACCCTGTGCTTTAACTCCAGAAGGAGTGTGACCTCAGAAAGAGCTGTGTTAATTATACCAGCTTCACTTACAGTCACAGAACCTAGCTCATACTGCACACAGGGGTTACTTTCAGACATGCCTGAGTGATTTCAGAATCAAAAATACTAGTGTATCAAGAGTAAGCCACCTAAGCTAGCTGTCTAGGCTTCAGGTTCCCATTCAGTCAGCAAACAGATGAGCTCCTCTGGAGGGTGAAGCAGAATGTAGAAATGAGACTTGCATCCTAAATCACTGCCTGGAGCATCTCTCGCTCCCTTTTACAGGTAGAGGGCAGGCAGCTTAGCTGCCTTCCTCTGGTACCTGAGTTTGCTTGTTGCAAATACTCCTTTTGTACATCACAACTGCAGAAGAGTTAATGCCCCTAACACACTTCATCCAATATCTCCCAGTGAGCAACACATGGGTGCAGGTGTGCTATGAAAGAAGATATTAAAAGATATAAAACTGGGCACCTCCTTGCATTTTTAGGGACCCAAACCAGGCCCTAAGTGTCCAGAGCACCTCAGCAAACGTGGGCTCTAGCCCGATGTTCCCAACTTTTGGTTTTACGTGGCAAACACAGCAGCACTGTGGAAGATTTCATCTCTGAAGCCATAAATCACTAACACCCCTCCCCGATTTACAGCTGAGCAATGGTGCTAAACTCACAACCTGCATCATCCCTGCAAACACCATGTATGGGAAGAAAGCAACGTTTCTTCAAGAGCTGTATTTGCTCAGCAGAGCCAGGAGCAGTGTCTTGAACTACCTGGAGCCTGAAAACACAGAGTGGAATTACACATACGTGGGTGAGTGACGGATCTCTTTGCACAGAGTGCTACCAGCCTGGTTTAGTCACAGGGGATTTTACACCTCAGCTTAACCCTAATCTGCCAAAACACAGAGATGAGTATGGTGAATGAGCACAGAGATTTTTATAATCCTAAATCTTAGCCTGGCCCAATGAATTTTGGAAACTCTTGTTTAGATTCTACTGGTTTTCCTGGGGATGGTTTTCTATTTGTTTCTTCTCCTCAATATAGGGAAAATGTTTGGAAAACTAAAAAAGAACAAAGTCGATGGAAGAAAGGATAGAGATTTAATGTTTCATTTTGTAGGGAACCACTTCAAGGGATATAGGGGGCAAAGAGACAGAAATTCAGGCAATACTTCTAAAATGGTTTTGGTTCGAAAAGACACTTCATTTCTTCTTCACTAGAAGAAATTGAACTAACACTGCTTGTAAAGTTCCTTGCAAAAAAGGCTGCTCTATAGAATTGATTTTAGAAAGCACGAGAAACTAAGCAAAACCTATAGAAAGAATCTGTTGTGCTGAACACACTTCAGGGGTGTATAACTCACCATTAAATCGTGTAGAGTTTCAATTACTCCTGTGTAACATATAAGTGTAACTTACATGGCTTTTTCCAAAAGCACAGAAAATAGGAGTTTGAAAATGCTGTTAGAGAAGAATCAGGCCTAGATAAATCAAGTGACTGCTTCAAAGACTCACAGCAGAGCCAGGAATAAAACCCTCGAGCACTGCCTCCCATTCATCCTGCTCTCACTACAAAACACTGCCCTTTCGCTTCACATGAACCACTATCACAAGGCACATTAATTGTCCAGCTCAAAGGGGAGACCCAAAGGTTTAAAGGATCTTGGAGGTCTGGATTAACTACTCAGTCTCTCCACAGCACAGCTGAGTAACACCATGAGTGCTTTCTCTACTTCACAGCACTGAATCCAGCAGATCCAATGTACTCATTCTACAGTAAACAGGAAAATTAGCTCCTCCTGAATACCTGTTTCTCTCCACCTCATTTCTCCAGGGAACGTGGCATGGATGCATGTTCTTGCCTCAAGGAACTTGCAGCTGAACCCAGACTTACTCACAGGACAAGCGTATTGTGCCTATGCTGACACTCCAACAAAAAAATGTTTCCTGATCAGGCATCAGCTGTTGCCCTCCATGGACCCCTCAGTGAGACTAGGCTCCCACATTCCTTACTGGAAGACGTGGTTAATGATAAAAGTGCACAGGATAGTCAAGGTCATCCTGTACCCTTTCTGGAAGCCACAGCCTTTCCTGACCTTGCCTCTACTGAATATGATAGTCACCACCTTCTCCTATGAGACAGACAAAGCCTCCAGGCATTTTGGGTACAAACCCCTCTTCACCTGGTAAGACAGCAAGCACAGAACTGCACAGCAGTTGAAAGCAGCTGCAAGGAACCTGGAACCCCCCCAGCTTCATGAAAAGAGCAACTAAACAGCATGTCTGGGGTAACGAGAGAGCTTATCACACCAGCAAGTTTCATCTGAATTGCTCAACATGCATTCATCTTTGGCAGGAATTTTGCAAACACTGAAAATCCTGGTACAGAGACAGAGAAGGAGCAACTCTCAGGCTGCAAGTATGTACCCTTGTCATGGCAACAACTCAGCTGTTTTAGATGTCTTACAAAACACTGTGTGCATCTGAAGGCATCCTCTTGCAGCTATGTGCACACAGGCAAAGGGGTGGCTGGCCTCACCCCTTCTCATGGTGACACTGCTGCATGGAGATCACTTGTGGGAATGAGAGATGGATTCAGCTGGGAGATGGTGCTCAGCAAACACACTTAACCAGTTTCATTCCACAGCCTCCATCTCTTTCCATACTCAGCAAATGGATCTCTCCCTTGCCATGGTTCATACACAAAATAGGTATTCGGTGATAATTTTAGGGAAAACAAGGAAAGCCCAGCAAGTTCTTGCTCTGTTTTAGGGTTTCATATAACGAATAAAGAATTGCCCTTTTCAAGATGCTTCCTGTTATTCTTAATGTATGAAATATTATATCTGTTTTGAAATATCGCTATAGAAAGAAGCTTCCCATCTCTTGTGCTAACCATGTCTATGCTCACTTCCTAATTGTATGGATGGGTAACTCATAACAAGATTAGAGGTGGGATTCACGTAGTTTGTAACTCAAAGTCTTCTCACCGGAAGCAGCAAAGCAAAACAGATGAAAGCCCATATTCAGCTGCTTCACTGGCAGACAACAACTTCAAGCGAAGGCCTTAGGGGCTGCATTTATGCTAAATAACATCTGAACTTCAGCGCGAAGAGGTCATTTCAACTCATTCCATGGCACTGAAGCTACACAGGCTGTCTGGGAGCAATATTTCACAGATGAGATTTTCTTAACACAGATGGGGCAGGCACTTTCAGAAGATTCCCAACAAAACCTGCTTTGCATCAGTTTATCAGCTTCTCTTTTTAAGACACATGGAGGAACTGGGAAACCTACATTCAGCACAACAGAGACTTTGGTTTTCACTCGAGCTTGGAGGAATGGGATATTTTTACAAAACTGGTTCAAATCTAAAATGAACTGTGCTGGTCTCACACTTCTGTGTTCTGTGAATACATACATGGGGTTTTCCTACTGTAAAAGTGTGCACATGCACAAATAAAAGCTTCTTTTAATGACAAGTGCCCCGTTACTCCTGGAAAAATGCAAGTTTCAGCATGGCATCCTTGATAGAAATGATGAAAACTTGCACCTTGTTAGTCACAATTACGCAGGAAGGGGAGCAGAGCAATGCGGGGTGAGCTGCCAAGCGAACCTCACAGACATTCACCCTCACAAGACAACTCTGCAAAATGAGCTTACAACACAGAAATCATTTCCTCTGGTAATTCGTTAATAATGTCATATAACAAATAAATTTGGGGTAACTACTGCAATCTAATCATAGAGCATTTGGGAAGGTGAAGTGGGCGAGTTATTGGTTCCCTACTGTTTTTTCCTCTACCATTTGTGCTTGGAGGATTTTAAGAAAGGAAGCAATAGGATTGCTGGGTTTTCTATCTCACAAAAAAATTCCCTTTGCGGTTTGTGCCATTATTCAAACGGCAGGTGACAGCTTACTAATAATTTCACAAGGAAATATACCGCTAATTTCCCATGCACATCGCCAGAGCATCTCCACAGCACAACAACGTTGATCTCAACAGGTTTTACTGCGGCTGGAACCTTGGTTTTTTATCTTGCCAAAAAAGAGCCACTGGGTGGAGCTGCGAGGCTGTGAGACAGGCACCGTCTCCTCATGCGTTCAAAGGCTGCAACCGCTTTTGCTTTAGCTGGTTTTTAGAACAACGAGGCTGATGGATGGGGTGGGAGTATCTGACCATCCAGGTTTGGCCTCAGCCTGTGGCTTTTGGTATTCTGGCTAGATGCAGTCATGGGTTTATCTTCATGTCATCATACAATCGGAGACTGAAGAAATGCTTTTTCCACTCAGAACTCATTAGAAAAGAATAAAAGTTTGCTTTCTGGTTTTTAAAATATATTTAATACTGCTCTCTACCTTTAGAAAAACATGCCTAAGTATAATGAGCTGATGCTTTCAACCCATTCAGCGCCGTTGGTGTGTATTCCTTTGTGGGATTTGGAGCTGCTAAAGCTATCAGATGGGACAGTTGTCAAGCTCAGTACTATCCCAGAGATCAATGCTTTACAAGCTTGCCTGCTTTCAGAAACCTTGCTGGGAACCTCATCATGCTTTTGTTCCTGTCCTGCTCATCATCACCTGTGATTCTGATGCTTATCAGAGCGCAGATGACATGCAGGATAAGGAGCAGGGTTTTTTTAACGGGAGTTAACTGCCAGATCTTTCACAGGTATGTGAATTAGTTGCTTTATATGAAAAGCTGCTTAGCTAAAATATACCTGACAAAAGCAAGTAGAGGATTCCCTTTTCCCTGCTCATGGTAGATAATGGGGGGGTGGGGGGGGAAGTTAGACAGCAAAGCCTCTGTGCTGCTCTCCAAAAAGATGAGTAAGCTTCCTTTGGCTGCCCTGCATTTTGGCTCCTCCAAGCTAATGCTGCTGCAGACTTCCTGTTAGATCTTTGATTTTATCAGATTATAACTTGTTTTCTCCTGGCAATGCTTTCATTCTTTCTACTGGCCTGGGTTGTCGTTGGTTTTTCTTTGCAGGGTCTCAGCCATATTATATAACAGCAGCAGAAGCAAAAAAGAAAGGGAAAAGAAAATATTTCAGCTCTGTTTCTAGATCTGGAGAGAAGCCTTTGTGCACAATTACTCATCCAAGAGATTCAGCAGGTATAACTGCTTCCCCCAGGGGCTCCATTATATAATTGGATTTCAGCCATACAAATTAAATCCTATCTTACCCCTTAGTTAAGCCAGGCAGTAAGTATTTAATGCTAATATCCCTGACAACTATTGCAGGGAGAAGCAGAGATGAAGCACAGAGGAGACAGATGCATCATTCTCTACTGGAGGAGCAGGGAGGATGAGCAAGGAGAGCATTGACAGGAAGACAACCTGCTATATTTTAAACTTCCCCAGCATGAGCCATGGTGTCTGCTGGAGTTGTCATCTGAGCTGGAACACCAATCTCCCTTCGTTTTCCACCCTCCAATGTTCCCTTGTGTGCATTGAGCATTCAACCTCCCAACACATACTTCAAAGAGTCACATGCCTAACCCTGTTTGAGTTTCTATGGAAGTCTCTGTTCTTGTGCAACGTCTGAAGGAAGCAAGTTTAGCAATATTAAAACTCAAGCCAAACACACAAACAAGCAAAGAATCCCCAAATTAAAAAGAAAATCTCAACAGAGTTACTCATTCATCTGCATTTTCTGTTGGGTTCTGCCTTCTCCCGACACGTTTCTTTTAGACAAAGCCCTCTGGGCAGAGACCATCTCTTTTGGTGTCTGGTACATCAGTCACACAGTTAGTACATAGTAATAAAGGAAAATAGATTCATGGTAGGAGTTAAACCAGTCAGTCTGGTCCTGTAATTGGAACATAATCTCATATTGACAGTATTTAGCACAGGATGCACAGGAACAGATGGCAGCATGCCAGGCCTCCATCCTTCTGCAAATATTGGAAAGTGATTTTCCAAGTCCAGCTCCTGAACCTCACCTCTGATGTCGGAAGCTTTGCTTCCCAAAACGGGCCTAGATCCAGTCACTAATTCTGGTTAAAGCCCAACACACCCATATGCTCTTGAGTGCCAACACTGGCTAGCAGTGTTTCCATTGCTAAACCACCCAACAAACACTTCCAGAGAGATTTAAAAAGCATCAAGGGCAGAAGTGTCCAACATCCATTGATACAAATGCTCCCAAACCTCTGAATACACGTGATCCTTTCCCTTACAGAGAACTTGCCTGTGACACAAGACAGCCCAATGTACACTTTCGGTGTCAGGGGTACCCACCACTCTGCTGCTTCTTTCATCTCTAAAACCTTCAGTCATGCAGTTAACTCAGTGGAACATACTGGCAGTACAGAGTCATTCTTTTCCCCAAGCCTAAAAGGCTGAGCTAAAGCAGGTGAAAGGAGAGGAAGCCCATTTATGTCCAAGAGGCATTTACAGTACAGAGTGAGACAGTTTAAGTGCAGACACCAACTCAGCTTTCCAAGGGTATGGGAAAAGTATACCTGGCTTCTTAAATCTGCCACAGCCAGTTTAAATTGATTTTTCTCTATTTCAGCAATTAATTCCCATTAATCAAATTACTGTACAATGGTATACTATAATTCACAACTCTTATGTATTACATGAATAAAATTTCACATATATTTTTATGTGATTTTCATTTAATTGAATTCCAAGGAGATTTATCTGCTGAGTTATTAATAAATCTTAATATGGCCTATAACACTCAATTGATATTTAATTAACCTGCAATAACTGCCTTGTAAAATGTAAATTAAATGCTTTATTTTTCCAGGCATATAACTTTAAATCAAATGCTTTATTCTACCAGAAAAGCAAAAAGGAGTGGGGGAAAAAAGATTGCAGGCAAGCAAACCTTAGACCTGAAGAGTTTTGATGTTTAAAGAGGTTCAAACTGGAGACTGGATCCATGCTTTGCAATGAGTTCTTCTCCTGAGGAAGTACTTTTCCACTGTCTGCCCACCTTGAAAGATCACAAGAATCTGGATGGATTTAGATGAAACATCAAAATCTTAGGAGGTTTGAAGAGCAGTGAGAGGCGCCCATTATTAATAAGATTGCAAATTCCCATAGGTATTGTGGTATTTGGCATTTTTCTTAAAAGTCTTGGCTCCTGGAGTCGCATTATCAAATGAGAATGTCAATTTTCATTTAAAACTGAAAAAGGAAAGATGTTAAAGCCCTTTGATAGGGGAAGAAGTTTGCAAACCTGCATGTCAAAGGCATGAGAACTGAGAGACAAAAATACATAAAACTTGATCCTTATCTTGAAAAGTATCAGAACTTTTTGAGAGACTTGAGATGTTTGAACACTGGGAGGTGGCAACAACTGATGAAAACAGCCTTTATGAGAAAAGATGAGAACAGTCCAAATTACATTTTAAGATCAAACTGTTCTCTTCCCCCTCCCTGAGCAATTTACATAGATCTGCATTAAATATTGCAAACTGTAACAACAACTCCTTCTGATTTCCAAACTACAGTAGCCAGCTACCTCCGCAAAGTGATTTGAAAACTTCAGGAGAGTATGACTGTCTGGAATTGATAAGCCTATGAAGTTTTACTGCATCTAAAGTTAGTATATCTTTCTTTTTCTAATGCACGGAGTGGCCAATCTGTCTTACAATATTTTATTAAATAGGGTATTTCCACCAAAGGACAGTAACCCTTACTGTCTGTAATCTGTCTGCATTAGATCACTTTAAAAGGCATTAAATGAAAATCAGAAGTTAAATGTACCATGGATTTTAAAGGTGTCACAGCATGGAAGAATAAAAATGAAGAGAATGGATTCTGACTTGCAATGAATGAATGGAAATA